GCGTGCTTCGTGGCCCTGTATAGGGTGGGAGCACCATCACGTGTATGCTAATCCTGGTCTCCTAGTGTTATAGGGCACCCCAAATCTGTTCCAAAACGGGGAGGGAGGGGCACCCCTGAAGCACCAAAACCTGCCTGCTCTAAGTGGGTTCTGCCATCTGCCGCAATAAGACAAAACATATAAAACTTCAATGAAAAAGAACTTTAATACAGTAAGTATACAATACGGAACACAAAGAATTTAACTTCTTAATCAAACACCTGAAGCTACCTGTACCCTCGTGGGCAAAAGTCCACCCAAAAGGGATTGGCCCAAAGCAAGGCCTGAAAGCCCACCACTAGACTAAAGCACCTTGTGGGCGGGACCCATGGAAAAGGGTCAGAATGTCCAGACAAACCTGGGAGGAAAAGAGCAAAATCAAAATCAATATAAACACTGCCATAGTCACCTCCCCACAGGTTTCTCATCCACATCTGCCTTAACCAGTCCAGGGTCAGGAAACAAGCCCGGTTTCTTCACCACATGCTTGCTGCTCCATGCAGCTTCCTTACCTCTCCGTCTTCTTCTCCATCCAGCTCATTCCCTTCTCTCTTCTCCTTTTTCTCTGCTCAGCTCCACCCTCCTTCTGGGTGGGGCAGGGAACCTGGAACTTCCCTTTTTCCTAGGGACCACCCTGTTACACTAGAACCAGTTTCACCACCCCCCCGCTCCCCCCCTCACACACCGTGCTCAAGTGAGGTCAGAAGTTACTCTTGCCTACCTACGGTGGTTGACGTGTCATGGTGGTCTTGGAAGGACTGTCGGGGATCACCTGGTGATGAAAAGCCGACCTTTCCACCTTATGCTGGGAAAACTAAGGTCCGGAGAGTGGAGTTATTTGACCAGTGGCCAGTTCTTAGAGCTCGGTCTGAAGTTGCATTGCAGTTTTCTGCAGCACGGTGCGTGACGGGAACTTCGTGGGGTCCGAGCATTCCGGGTCCGTCCCCTTGCTTTTCTCTTGAGTCGCTTGCCATGGTGACCTCTTCCGTGGGTTGGGCGTAATGATAGGAGCAAACACTATGTGGCACTTACAAGACCTGTGATTGTTGTGTTTTATGTATTTTTCTTGATTGGCTAGCAGGAAAAATGAGAGTCAAAGAAACTTGAAAATAAGTCTGTGCTGGAAGGTCAGGGTAGGTAATTTGTCAAACTGCTGAGTCTCCAGCTCCTCTTTGCTAGCGTCTGAGGTGCAGGGCATAGTTACTGCTTCTGAGGCTTGTCTTTGGGTAACTTGGAACATAGTTCATTACTTAGGAGCAGTATGTGTAAGCAGGGGGGATCATAGGATAGGCATTCATTTGCTGGGATGCCAGGGCAGACAGCTTAAGGCTCTTGTTTAAATTATCCAGATAATTATCTCTTTACCACCCTTTACTTAATTTACAGATGTATTTGATCAAAAAACATTGACATTAGAGAGTGTCCTGGGCCCTGGAATCTAAAAGTTATAGACAAACTGAGAACTTAAAATCTTATTAAAACTCCCAGTGCCTAGCACATAGCAGTTTCTCAAAAACATTTTTGAATTGTTATTCTAGTACAGTAGTCTATAAAGAGGTGTGTGCAGGGGAGCACAAAGCGAGGTGACTATTTGGAGGGATTGGAGAAGGCTTCTTGCAACAAGTGAATCTCAATGATAAATTAGTTGCTGGTGGGTTGGGGGAGGTGCTTGTTATTCCAGTAAAGACGAGCATCGTGGGGAATGTTGGGGGCTAATAGGAAAAGAAGAAGAAAAAAGTGTTAGGATCAAAAGATGAAGAGGTTTCGCTGCCATTCCAGGAAAATTACAGGGTGCCATTAGTGAGTTACAAGCAGGGGACTGATTAGCTATCTCTATAGCTAATGATATGACGAGCAGACAAGACAGGAGGCAAGAATCATTCCATTCATTGATAAATGTTTATTGAGTGTCCACTGTGTCCAGGCATCAGGCTGGACGCTGTGGATACAACTTGGAGTAAAATAAGCATGGTTACTGCTGCTTAGAGATTGCAGTCTAAATTAGGTAGGGGGGTGGGGAGTGGTTTTCACAGTGTGTCCCCAGGCCAGCAGCCTCAGCAACACCTGGGGGCTTGTTGGGAATGCAAGTTCTCTTCTGCATCCTGACCTACTGAAATTCTGGAGGGTAAGGCTCCATAATTTGTTTTCACAAGCCTTCCAGGTGATTCTGATGCTCGTATAAGTTAAAGGATCACTGGACTCCTGTAACGGAGCAAGCAGTTACTGAGGGTTAAATCAGGGTTGAGGCAGCAAGGACCAGGAGGAGGGTGGGCTTGAGAGAAATCCTGGAGACCTACTTGTTTTAGGAGCTGAAAGGTTTTCTGACTCAGGCCACCAGTCTGAGGTGGCACCTTGAGTAGGCGATGGAGCCAGGTGGGCCTTGCCTCCAGGGTCCGAGCTTTTCCACACAGCACCCCCAGGCCCCCCAAGTCTCTGGCAGTCCCTCCCAGCCCTCTTCACAATACAGGACACATGGGAAATGGTAATCTTTGTTCAGGCATGTGAAACGGTTGAAGCTGTTTCAGGTTGGAGGGGGCCCAGTGGGGAATTTGAGGAGGATAAGGGGGAACTACCTGGAGAGGCCAGCTTCTCAGAGCAGCCAGGGCTCAGCCTCTTAGCAGAGTGCATGCCCTTTAACTCAGGAGTTCTACTCCTGAAAATCCTACCCAAATATAAAACAAACCAAGTCTTCAGTTCTTTGTAGATTATGTGTAAAAGAGAAAACAGCCCTCTGGTAGAAGGGTCTTTTTTTTTTTTGATACCGTCAATCAGTGGACTGTTGTCCTGCTACTGGAAAAGGTGTGACCGCTTTGTAAAGCCATTGTCCTGCCCAGAGTCAGGTCCTGCCTGGCACCCTGAGCTGCCAGGATAGGTTCTAGCCACCCAGAATGCAAAACTGGAATAAGGTTGAAAAGTGAATGAACACAAGTTGTTATGTATCACTAGTGTCTGGGTCTTTCTCTAGAAGAGGTTTCTGTGAACAGAAACATGCCATAGGAGTTGAACTTACACTGAGGAGGCCTTACTATATTTTTAATAATGGGGAAATACTGCTTTTAAAGGGCAGAAGGCGGTAGAAGTAGAACTCTGATCTGCTGGGATGTTAAGAAATGAAAGGGTTTGCACCTGCAAACCAGTGGCTGCCGTAGAAGGCCATTGGAAACCAGGCAGAGCTGGCGCCCTCGTGGTGTGGAAACGCAGTTACACTTCTACGCAACTCATTTTTCTCCAGGCACAAGTGCTTCCCGTGCCAGGGTGACATGGAAGGACTGCTGACAAGATGCCGAGCACTGGCCCCCCACAGCCACCATCTCTCTGGGTACAAGCCCCTCAGATTTTACTGTTCCCCAAGCAGAGGGCGGCGCATGGTGCTGTCCCGTGTATTCCAGCCCCAGAACCTCCGGGAAGACCAGTGGCACTCCCTGGAGGGCAGATCTGGTGAGCTGACCTGTAAGAGTCAGAAGCTGATGCTGCGGGTGGGCTTGATCCACCCAGCCAGCCCCGGCTGTTACCACCTCCTGCCCTACACCGTCCGAGCCATGGAGAAGCTCGTGCGGGTGATAGACCAGGAGATGCAGGCCATCGGGGGTCAGAAGGTCAACATGCCCAGCCTCAGCCCGGCAGAGCTCTGGCAAGCCACCAGCCGGTGGGACTTGATGGGTAACGAACTGCTACGACTCAGAGACAGACACGGCAGGGAGTACTGCTTAGGACCGACTCATGAGGAAGCCGTCACAGCCCTGGTCGCCTCCCAGAAGAACCTGTCCTACAAGCAGCTTCCATTCCTGCTATACCAGGTAACGAGGAAGTTTCGGGATGAGCCCAGGCCCCGCTTTGGTCTTCTGCGCGGCCGAGAGTTTTACATGAAGGACATGTACACCTTCGATTCCTCCCCAGAGGCCGCCCGGCAGACCTATGGCTTGGTGTGTGATGCCTATGGCCGCCTGTTTGACAGGCTGGGGCTGCGATGCATCAAGGTCCAGGCGGATGTGGGCAGTATTGGGGGCACAATGTCTCATGAGTTCCAGCTCCCAGTGGATGTCGGAGAGGACCGGTTTGCAGTCTGCCCCAGCTGTAACTTCTCGGCCAACGTGGAGACGCTAGACATGTCACAGACGAACTGCCCTGTTTGCCAGGGACCTCTGACCGAAACCAAAGGCATTGAGGTGGGGCACACATTTTACCTGGGCACCAAGTACTCTTCCATTTTCAATGCTCAGTTCACTGACGTTCATGGCAAACAATCCCTGGCTGAAATGGGGTGCTATGGCTTGGGTGTGACTCGGATCTTGGCTGCTGCCATCGAAGTTTTCTCTACAGAAGACTGCGTCCGCTGGCCCAGCCTCCTGGCCCCTTACCACGTCTGCCTCATCCCCCCTAAGAAGGGCAGTAAGGAGGAGGCGGCGGCAGAGCTCACAGGGAACCTGTATGACCACCTCACCGAGGTGGTGCCGCAGCTGCGAGGGGAGGTCCTGCTGGACGACAGGACCCATCTGACCATTGGGAACAGACTGAAAGATGCTGACAAGCTTGGCTACCCGTATGTGGTCATTGCTGGCAAGAGGGCCTTGGAGGACCCTGCACGTTTTGAGGTTTGGTGCCAGAACACCGGTGAGGTAGTCTTCCTTACCAAAGAAGGAACCCTGGAATTGCTGAGCCAAGTGCAGGTAGTCTGAACCGCAGCGCCCAGGCCCAGCCCCACTCCCCTGCAGCTGTGGTGTTTATTTGAACAGCACCCAGCTCCATACTCCTTGGGGCTGGGCTCTCCAGAAATAGGGAAGCTTGTGGCAAGTGAGATGTGTTAGGGAATCAGTATTCACCTAGTATTTTGTTCAAACTACAGTTGCCCTTGAACACCAGTGGCATTACTTTGCTATGGCGGCCCTTTGGCGTCTGGGGAGGACACGTCCATCTCCATGGTTGTGTGAACCTATGATGTGGAGCCTACCTGTCCACGTGTCAGTGGACCCAGCAGTTCAAACCCATGTTCAAGAGTCAGCTGAATCTGTAGTTCCAGTCACTGACTGATCCTTCGGACTGGTTGAGCAGCAGTCTACCAGTCCTTTTATATTCCACTGTGGCCACTTCTGAGGAGGCAGGGAGCTCAGTTCCCTCGGCCTTCAGGTGAGTCACTTTGGTCCCAGTTGTTTCCCAGCGAGGATGGGAGTAACTGGCGGCCAAGGCCCTCCTGCTCCAGGGGCTCTTGCTGCATCCAGTCTAGAGAACAAGCCCACCAGCCTCCCCTCCCCAGACCTCGGTTTCCCCATCTGTGATATGTGAAAATAAACTACTTCTGAGTTTTTAAGCTGTCACTGGCCAGTTCCACGAGAGATTCGTGACAGGCAGATCTGCTTAGGACGTGGGCCCTCCACCATCCATGATACACAGAGATTTGATAAAATCCACTGGTGGCCAAAACCACCTCCAGAGAGCTGGCCCTGTTAGGCAGCTTAGCACTGAGGCCATGTTGTAGCCACTGAATAAAGTCAGACTGTTGGAATGAGCCTTACATGTGAACCTGAAACAGCGGTGACACCTGCCGTTTAACAGCACAGCATCTTCCTGTCTTGAGACTTTGTTCCTACTATGTCTGTACTACACTCAAAAGAAAATTGGGTGGTGTTTCCCCCAAGTAGCAGGGACAGCAGGCTTCAAATACCTGTCCTAGGTACACACACAGCTGGATCCTGGAGCTGTGAGAGCTTTCTCTCTGGGTTCTGGAAAATTGGGAGCAGATTCAAACTCCCACAGCAGTGCTTCCTGCTTTCATCATGCCAGGTCACCACTGGGAACATAGTTTGCCATGACATGTCCAAATCTAACAAGAATTAATCAAGGCCAAGCTCCTTGATTAATATCCCCTCCTGAAAACAGGCCTGGCAGTGCCTGGAAGTGGTTTTCCCCTGGCTCCCTAGCACCTTCCTGTTTGGCATTAATCTCTCAGCACCCACCCAGCACACGTGTGAGGCCGCGCACCTTGAGCCGATTCTTTAGGCTCTGCAGTTACCTTGACCAGTTGCTCCGCCTGCAGCCTGTTAACTCACGCTCAGGTCTCCTAATGTGTAGTTCCAGCCCTAGATTCACAGACCTGCCGCTGGACCCAGCCTTCAGGCCAGTAGATTTTGAGAGCAGACCTAGGTAAACTGACCTGTCAGGGCGCGTTGCCAGGTTCTGGGGTGTGGCCTGGGCATCAGGAATTTCCTGACTCCCTACATGATTCTAATGCCCAGAATCCACTGAGCTTCCAGTGTAAGGCAGCTGTCTCCTGAGCCTGTTTGTGCTTGGGCCTTCCTTTGAGTGGTTTCAGTTGTGTGTTATCAGACTGATGTTAGCTTTTCCAGCTATCTGGTCAGCTGCTAGGGCCTGCTGTGTGCCACTGTGCTGTGAGGCACTTTAATATCGTTTTCAGACTGAAGGTCAGTGCTGTTATTCAGAAACCTGTGACCATTTAAGCACAAGGATGCAAACCTACTAAATACTGGAGCTGGAATCTGAGGAGTGACTAAAACCTGTTCCTTTCTTATAGCATGAGACAAAAAGTGATTTCAATAAATCTTAACGGTTTGAGTCTGTATAGTCATTAGCTTAAAAGTAAATGAAAAACTAAAATCCGTGCAAATGGATGCTTTATATATATATATATGTAATATATATGTATGCATTTATATATTCCGTAAGTGTATTTATGGAAGGCTAGCCTGATGTAAGCACTTTTAGAATCTTGTTCTCTCTTAACAGTTAATTTTAAATTTCATAAATTTGCAAGTTGCAGCTTGATTCGAGGATGATAAAAACCTTGGACAGGAAGGTGCTTGAACCCTTTCCAGATGAGACCCAGACCCGGAGTGGGAATTAACCTGTCACATGTTATCTGCAAAACTCCCTGATGCAGGCCAGGTGCTATGGGACCTGAATTGGGCTGCCTCTGGTCTATCTTGTTGCATTAAGAGAGATCTGGCTGGACAGCTATGAGCTACAAAAAGCTCTGTGTATTTAAAGCCGGTACCTGACCTCTATTTTCCAAGGAAGACAAACCCAAGGAGTAATGTATGTGCCCAAGGTCAAGCTGAACTGAAACCTAGATACCTGGATTACTGAGCCAGTGTTTCTCCTAGTAGCCAGGGATAGTATAATTTGGTGGAAAGGATCAAAACCTCTGAGAGACTAATCCTAGATCAGCCACTCACCAGGGACGTGACCCAGGACAAAAGACCTGCCCTAGGTGGGCTCAGATTCTTCCTCAGTGCCTGGGCTGCCTGTCTACACGCACTTACATGAAACATTTAACCCTTAGTATGCACTTAGGAAACATTTTCCTACAGCAGGAAATCTCCCCCATGGGGGCTCAGCTTCCGCTATTAACTCATCTCCAGATCTGAATCTTAATTTTCTTGATGAGATGCATTACAACCTTCCTGGGGAACGCCATGAGTAAGAATTAAGTAATGCCTTTGGTTCATTTCCTAAGAGGAAAGACAGAACTACTCGAGCTACTCTCCTTCTAAACTTGCTAGTGTTACCTCTTGCTGTAAACTGAGGGTGGGGATGCTGGCAAAATAATAGGTACAGGCTGTATTATCATTGCTCATTCCTTTGGGAGATCTAGAAGTAACTAACTGGGAAATAGTTAGCAGAATTAATACTTGGGGACAAAGGCGGTGCATAACAAACCCATTGTGTAAATCAAGCTTAGAATGTAAATCAAGAGCTCCATGAATATTCTGTGTTTTAATGGAAGAAACACCTGCTGGGTTATCAGGGAAGGAGCTTTGCAGAATCTGTTGAAATTGTCATTTCTTTTAACTACTTGAGTGCCAGACCTCTTAGAGTGCCCACATCCATTTTAACACCAAGAAGGCAGAATGCTTTTAGGATGGATTATTGTGTCCAAGGGCACAAAGGTTTAGCTTCATAATTAGGAAACTGATTTGTTTTCTGTAATGTGCAAAATAGGGAAAGAAATATTTTTATGATACTGTGCCTACTTGGGGAGCATCTGGAACAGAAACAGGGTACTTAATTTTTTTTAAAGCTATTTAGGCATACAGAATGGAGATACAGGCCAGAGGTGCGGGGGTGGTGAGAGGGTTCACCAGAATCAGAGTGGGGAACAAATCAGGCGGACTGATGAAATACAGTCGAGGGGAGCAGCAGGTGAGATAGGAGGGGTCTGCTGTGCCACATGGATTACTTCTGGGGCGGGGATCGAACTCACACCAAAGCTGCCTCTAGCTTCACAGTGCTGTGCTTTAACCTGATGTGCCACCAGGAAGGGCCCACTTCACTTAATTTTAGAAACGATTTCATCATGATGATCCAGAGAAGGCACTATAGTCAGACTGCCTGGGCCACTTAGTAGCTTTCTGACCATGTATGTGCGAGAGACCGCATACAGGCTTCCTCCTGCGTAAAATGGGGGCAGCAGAGTCTGGCTCCCAGCATGTGCTTGGTAGTGGCCCCTGTCCATTGCGCACAGTAGGTGGGCGGGTAGTGTTATGTGGATCTGCAGAATGTGCTGGCGCCTCTGGGTCTCCATGGTCAGGCAGCTCCTCGGTGCAGGACTGGTGTTCACTACTCTTCAGGCAGCAACTCTCGGGGCTGCTAGTCGAACTTAGTTGCTCTTGGCTAGTTAAACATTAGGTTCAGGCGAGTGAGGCGGCAGCACTTACCAGTAAACGGTAACAACACACCCCCTTGTCAGAGCAGAACTCACTGTCCACCCTCACCCACCGGCAAGGGTGTCAGGTGCTGTGGGCTCTAGCAGGGGTTTCCACAGACTGAATTCTACCCAGGCAGACAGGCATTGCATGCCAGTGAGTCCGAGATAGACCATAATGATGGAATGAGCAGGCAAGGGTTGCTGGGTCTCTTGCCAACTCAAGGCAGGGGCTCAGTCTCGTGACCAATGTCTCCTAGAAGTTCAGGGTCTGTCTCCGCTTTTCACTGGCTTGTTAACCAGGCATCCACTCAGGGCCACTTGTCAGTAAAATGGTACCTCTCAAGGTACTGGGAGGATTAAGTGAGCCAATAAAGCCCCTAGACTACTGCCTAATATATCCTAAGTGCTCAATAGATGGCAGCTGTGGCTGCTGAGCCAGGACTGTGTTGGGGGACAAAGGAAATCATTGCGTACCTCTGGGTACTTTGAAGCTGGGAGATAATCAAACATTACAGAGACTCCTGTACGATCAGAAAGACCCACCATGACTGACTTGCCCATGCGGCTTCAGAAGCCAAGTTAAACAGCTAAGGCAGAGAGGGTCTCGGGGTGTGGGCGGGCATGTGAGGTGGGAAAAAGGGAAGGCCGGTTAGGGAGGTTATAGGGAAGACACAGTATAGCATGCAAATTTCAGTTCTGCCTTTCCCACTGAAGAGATAGGGAAATTAGATCTTATTGGCATACACCTTTGCAGACTCTTGCAAGCAAGAAGCTTTTTCAAAGGTAACCTCAGAGCCCCTCCTGTGGAATCCGCTAAAAAGACTTTTCTTCATCCCCCTGTAGCTTCACCCCCACTACCTGTGAAAGACGCCCGTTCCAGTCTCCTTTGCTGTTACTGTAAATGCTTCACCTTAAACAGGCTGTGTCTGAACAAATGCTTTTACATCTTGGACTTCATGCAGCATTTCCCAAACTCAGCATTATTGGAAATTTGGGTCAGATCATTCTTTCCTGTGAGCATTCTTGCGCACTCTTAAGATGGTGAGCAGCATCCCTGGCATCTACCCACTAGATGACAGCAGCAGCCCACCAAGCTGTGACAAGTGTTTACAGGGCCAGATGTCCTCTGGGGGCAAAGCTGCCTCGGCTGAGACTCACTGGTCCGGTGCTACCGGTCTCCATAGATGCAGCTCTGGTTATAATTTAAGTAGTTAAGAGCTAGTTATGGAATAGTTACATGCCAGGCACTGGACTGGAGACTGAGAAATGCTGTGAACACACCTCCAAAGTGGGTACAGTGAGGAGTTTTATAGCACGAGTGAGTCCCCCCTCTGCGAGTCAGCAGCTGCCAGGAGCCTAGCCCTGATCTAATAGTCTGCCATTCTGAGACCCTTTTCCTTCCTTCCCACTCCTGCCCTGCCCTAGCCGGAGGTGACAGGAAATGAAGAGAAAGCAGAAGAGCAGAAGCTGGCTGATGGCCTGCCTGGCCTGGCCTGGCCGGCCCCTGTGCAAGTGCTGCAGGCTGAGGATGGAGGTCACATAACCACTCAGGTACACACTTGCGAATGTATAACTTACTCTGATCCAGTATCTTCTCTCTATCCAGTGTCTGGAAAGAGAGCAGGTGACCAGGATGCTTTGTGGGCGAGGCACGCTGGCATCTGTCACCTGCTGTGTGGTGGCTACTTTAGGGAACCTGCAGTGCCCACTGGGCTGTTGCTGCCAGGCGCCTCACACACAGCACGGAGCTCCTAAAGTCTCCGGCCCAGAGAGACAGGCCTTGCTATGGCCAAAGCCAGGCTCAGTTTAGAGGCTGAACTACAGCTTCTGGCCCACGTAGGAACCTGCACCTGGGAGGAAAGCTGCATGGTTCTTTGTAAACAGGTCACAGCAAATTCCTTCAAAGACAATGAATCACACAACACAACCCTAAATTAGTCCATCTTAGGGACCGCAGCTGTTTTCAGTTTAATGATGTATTAGTTAGCCTTGCTATAGTAACAAACAATCCCCAAATCTCAGTGCTTATTACTACAACAAACATTTATTTCTCATTCATGTCACCATCAATGGCAGCAGGCCAGCTGCTTCAGCTCTGCGCCACGTCTTACCATTCTGGCACCCAGGCTGAAGGAACAGCCTGTTTGAGAAATATGCTCTCAGAGGGGGGACAGATACATAGCCTGGTGGGGGGAAGAGCACGCGCCTGCCACCTAGTGGCTCCTCCAACCCCCACTGGCCAGCCTGCTCACATTCCTCTGCATCCCAGCAGGGAAGGACATTCCTCCCTGGGGGCTGGATGGGACTGTGGGTCATCACGTGAGTATGGCCAAAGGCATGCAAAGCCCTCTAGTAAGGGGGGCAAAAAGCTGCAGACAAATACTGTGACCCAACACACAAAAAGATTTTCCAGTTTTTTAAAAGACACAAAGACCTAAAATGTGAAAACTGGAGAGAACTCAGAGACCCCTTATTTAAGTCTGGCAAGTTCTCCAGACTTAAGTCTCCCAGTTCTTCTGCAAAGATGAGGAAATGTGGCAGTTTTTAGCTGTTAAGATGATCCCTGTTTCTGTGGTTTTTAAAAATGCAGAGATGGGACCAAGCTTTGCTGGCCTAGTGTCACTGGGGCCAGTGACTCGGCTTTAACTCCTTAAACTACAGGTAACTACAGGTGGGTCGTTTTTTTTTTTAAGATTTATTTATTTGTGCATACAGAACTGGGGTACAGGCCAGAGGCTCAGGGGCAGCAAGAGGCTTCACCAGAGATAGAGTGGGGAACAGAACAGGCAGATCGACGAAGTACACTGCTGAGGGGAGCAGCGGGCGGGTCAGGAGAGGTCTGCCACGCCATGTGGTCACCTCTGGGGCAGGCGGGATCAAACTCATGCAGAAGTGGCTTTAGCTTCTCAGTGTAGTGCTTTAACCCGCTGCGCCACCAGGGAGGGCCCGGGTTATATTTATATATGCACAATAGGGGCAGCTTCTTAATTCCACAAACATTTACATGTCACTGGGTCCTGGGTCAGTGTCCACAGAGCAGCGAGTCCGCAGGTCAGCTGCTGTGCAAACTGCAGAGCTGGAGGCTGGGGGGTTAACGCAGACGCAGGGAGTCCAAGGGTGTCATGACAAGGCACAGAGCTTTTCACCACCAGAGGAGAGTGAGGCCCAGCTGAGCTCAGTGGGTTGCTCAGATGTCCCTGTTCAGTGAAGTCAGCAACCCTCCCCAGCCATGTCCAGCTGACTGAAGTGCGCTGGATTCCAGGCACTGGTGAGTGAGGGGGGAACCAGGGGTGCTGGTTCCCACAGCCTGGCTCTGTCACTTTACCTGGTGCACCTTTCTCCCCTGAAGGTAATTCTTGCAAAAGGGGGAAGAGCCTACACAGACCAGAAATGCTGGTGTCAGGGCTTTGACACAGTACCTGCAGTGAACACAAGGAAAGAGGGTGTTAATTGAATTGCAGTCTTAATCATCCATGGACCTCCCAATGACATTCAAGGTGAACTTCTAGTTGTGTGTCAACATTAAAATGCAGTATAGCACATTTGCTAGTTTCGTGGTTTATAAACTTGGCAAATTAGCATGACCCCTCTCCCCCCACCCCCCATAACCTAGCCAGAACCTCTGTGCCAGTACTCCAGCCTCATGCATGTCTGTGACTAAAAAAGAAAACAACGTGATTTCACTCATTCGGTGACTGCTGGCCTAAGCCAGGTCTCGTGCTGCAAACATAAAACAAAAACCAAACCCTCCCTATTCCTTCCCTCTCCCCCCCAAATAGTCTTTGTTCTAATGTCCTGGGAGGAGTGTCATAATTGAGACACAGTTGTGACATAGTTCCTTGGCTGGGAAAGGGGAAACCTGGAAGACGCCATGTCTGAGTTTGACTTTTAATTTAGAAAAGTGGTGGTGATGGAGCAAAAGAAGAGGTGCAGGTCACCACAGCACCTGATCTTGCTGGAGCACAAAGCAAGCAGTGGGGCAGGTTAGAGAGGTGAGCAGGGGTCTGGCCCCCCCAGATTAGGGGTGTGCTTATACCCAGGAGGCTTGGATTTGGATAGAGGAACCTGCATCTTTGCTAAACCATCTTCTCCACATAATATTTTCAAATTACTATTTTAAATAATGAAAACTCAACAGAAAACAAAATACATAGGAACTATTTTAAATAACACTTCAAGTGAGCAATTTTAAGATAATATTTTGCCATTTGTCCTAAATTAATAATAGAATTATCTTTTAAAAAAGCAGAATGACAAAGTTGCCGGAAAACTGGCTTCTTGCCTATGCTGGTCATTTAAAAAGTAATCACTTCCAATTTCCTGAGAAGCATGAAATTGGTTTTCCTCCACCTATCCATCTGCTTCTATTTAGATTTCTTCCCCACTTTTTGGAGATGGGATAGAGTAGACTTCAGGTCCTTAGGACTTCTGGGTAATTTGCTGAGAAAATGAACAGCAAAAAATCTGTCTATAAGGTAGAGAAGAGATTTAGGGCCAGAAAAAAAAAAAAGTGCCACCAATAAAAGTCATCAATCATATCTGAAAGATATCATCACCTCCTGCCTGCCAAATCAAAGCACAAGCGTCAAGACCAGCTAGACACCCCCACCCAGTCAGTCAACATATAGCTGACCCACCAACCCTACTCCAGATCTCACCATGGGCAGAACACTTAAGGGCCTCCACGGTGGCGCAGGGGTTCCAGTCCCTGCACCACCAAGCTATCGGGCAGCCACTGCAGTGCACGAGCTCCATCCCCAGCCAGCGAGCTGACCCATAAGGCACAGCAGACCTCTCCTGTCTCACCTGCTGCTCCCCACTCTATTTCTGGTGAACCCTCTCACCCCCTGCACTTCTGGCCTTCACTCCAGTTCTTGTATGCATAAGTAAATTAAAAAAAAAAGTGTACAGAGTAATATACAGGTAATCTAAACAAACCAACACTTTCTCTGGTTCAACAGACGGCTGCCAAGTTCAGCTGTCACTGCTACTAGCAGAGCTCTCTTACAACAAGATCACCCTCTACAGTTTACAAAAGCACTTCAACTCTCACAGGCTCTCAAGTACCAGAGAAGCAACAGCCAAGAGTTATTATCTAATCCTATAGATGAGAGGCAGTGTGTAGAGTCATAAGCCTATAAATGACGGTGTGTCTGGTTTTAAGAACTAATGCTCTAGTCATCCAACAGAACCGGAGGACAAGGCTCAGTCAGGAACGGGAGGGCCATCACCGCTGTCCTCTGGTCCGAAAGCCAGCAACTTTCCCTTCTCTGACCAGTCACATGCACCCCATGGGCCCATGGTGCCATTACAGTTTTGAGGCAGGGCAGGAGGGAGTACAAGGCATTGAACGAGTGGTGGAATGAGCATCTGGCTGTGTCCTGGATGCTGCGTGTGCTTCTTTGGTCTGGCCTGCCCGCGTCTGACTCACCTGGGGTGCTGCAGCACCTGCAGCAGGGTGTTCCTGGGAGGCACGCGGTATAGTTCTGCCCTCTCCTCATCCTCAAAGTAGACCTGCAAGAGTAGTAGAAAAGCAGGAGTCAGACACAAAGGGCTCTGGCAGCACTAGGCATGTTGAGGCCAAGCCCAAGGAAAAGTTAGCGAGACTGTAACTGTAATCACCTGACTGTCCCTTCATAAAGTTGTAGCCTGTAAAGCATCAGTCCTCCCTATCACACATCAGAAGGTATCAATGACTCCATCCTCCAAAGACAGAAGCAGGGCTCAGCGAAGGGAATAACCCACCAAAGCTACCAACTTGTAAATAAAGATGCCCAGAGTCAAACCAAGCCTCTAGGCCTTCCCTTCCCAAACAGTTTAGTCCTGAAGCTATCAGGTATAGAGGAAAAAAGGTGGGGTGGCCTGGAATAGGAAGAGCCAAGTATGGTGCGAAAAATGTTCATTCGGGATGGCCCAGTGTAGACGTCAAAGCCCAAACAGGTAAGGGAGATGTCTGCGCAGGAGTCAAGCCTGGGAAAAGGGCTTCTTCACTGGAGGCCAGCCAGTCTACACAGGGCCAGAGGGCTCCTTGGAAGAGATCTACTTGTCTTGCTCCCCGCTCATGCTCTCTGGTGAATTCTACCCCCAACCCCTCTGGCCTGTACCCCAGTTCTTGTATGCTTAAATAAAATAAATCTAAAAAAAAAAAGATGTCCAGAGTGGGGCATCAGAGCCCAAGTGGTATGAGGGATGTGCTCATGCCTGGAACAGCAAACATGGGATTTCAGAGTCTGACTAGGATGAGGTCAACCACTCATACAGGGGTCACAACTTGTGAGAAGTGGGAATCCAAGTAGGTCTGAGGACACTGTGCAGGGTATCAGTCTGTGGAGGGCACCTGTGGTGGGGCAGGAGTCTAATGTGGAGTCAAAAGGCTTAAGTAGGGCAAGGGAGGTTCTGCCTGGGAGAAGGGACAATGGCAGCCACGGAGGGGGGTTAACTATAAAGGACTGATCAAGAAAATAACCAATAATGATAGAAGCCACTAGTATAAAACAGCCCTGTGGTATTAAGACACCAATGAGACTCCATGGTTTCATATACAACACACACACACACATACATCACACCTGTGCTTCCTAGTAGTGAGGCACTGCAAAGGCACCAAGCAGTGAACACCCCTCCCTCAGCCCCAGACACAGTGGCACAGATCTTGGCATCAGCACTCCTTGGAAAAGAGGGCAGATTTTCAGAGCACTCTGGAAAGCACAATTTGAGCCACCAAATCCTGTGTCAGAAAGCTCTTAAGATGGAGACAAGTCAGAGTATACTGAAACAATCTGAAAGATTTTGGTCAAATGAGCATAAAAATAACCACAATGATAGATTATAATTTACTGAACAAAAGAGGAAACTAAGTCCACTGATTGAAAGTGATGAACAACCGAGTGTTTGTGTCCATTCTTAGCACCTCCCTATGACACAGTAATTTTAAGGGGGAGAATGTATCTTTACATTAGAGAAGCGTGGCAGGCCTCCACCAGAATCAGGTGATCAAAGACCCTCACGAGTAACGACACTGACAGGACGCACCTGATAGCATCTGACAAGCACAGCATCGTGTCAGCTATTCATGTGTAGTCAAATACAACCAGGTCTAGTCATGAGGACACACGACACACCCACACTGCTGTACCTTTTCACAGAATAACTGGCTGTAATTTTCAAAAGTATTGAGACCAAGAAAGCTGAGGAAAGACAGGAACTCTCCCACAACCTGAGACTGAGCACATGGAAGCTAAATGCAACACAATGTGAACTCCAAAGAGGAATCTGGGGACCCTGCTGGTGGCACAACAGGTTAAAGCAAAGGACTGTGAGGCTCTCCACAGCCACTGCAGCATGAGTTCAATCCTTGGCCAGAGAGGTGACCCACATGGCGTAGCAGACCTCTCCTGTCCCACCCACTGCTCCCTCAGCAGTGTATTTCAGTACATCTGCCTGCTGTGTTCCTCACTCTGTCTCTGGTGAATCTTCTCTCACATTCCCCCCCGCCCCCCGGGCAACTCTGGCCTGTACCTCAGTTCTTATATGCAAAAATACATAAATCTTAAAAAAAAAAAATTGTTGAGACAATTTGTGGAAAGTATAAGGAATCTGAGGGTTTGTATCAAAGTTAATTTCCTGATTTTTGATGGCTATATTTATTATTAAGGAAAACGTCCCTGTTTTTAAGAAGTACACACTAAAGTATTCAGGGATAAAGGAGCATTATTTGGGATCTTACTCTGTAATGAACAGAAGATAAAGTCTTTGTACGGTAAGTTGTGATTTAAAAAAAAAGCTCAGTGTTCTGATCACAGATCCTGTGCGTGTGTGTGTCTAGGGGTGGGGGCTATTGTCCATGAAACCAAGGAATTCTCGGACATTAGTTGGTATCCTGCAATTCAGCTGAATTCTGACACTGTATCCGGAGATAGCACCAGAGTCCAAGCGTTAGGGCTCAGTCCCTCTAGGTTTACCCCAAGTCTGATGCCAGTCACAGGTGCAGGCTGTCACCTGTGATTCTGACCTCCAGTATAGATTGGAGGTTCCAACACCCCCATCCTTGGGCTCAGTTCGCTTGCTAGAGCAGCCCACAGAGCTATTTATTACTGGTTTATTACAGAAGGATGTAACTTGGGAGCATCCAGATGGGAGAGCAGTGTAAGACAAGTAGGGAAAGGACATGGCATGTCCAGGCTCTCTCCCGGAGTGTCACTCTCACCAACCCACAAGCTCGTAGAACAATGGGTTTCTCAGAAGCCTGTGGTTTCTATGGCAGCCTCATTTCACTGGCCACTGGTAACAGATTCTCAACTTTCAGCTCCCCTCCCTCCCTGGAGGTCAGAGAAGTGAGACTGAAAGTTCCAACCCCTTTAATCACCAGCCTCACCTTTAGGTGCCCCCAACAGTTACCTCCTAACAAGAGACACCTTTATGGAGTTTTAGGAGCTCTATACCAGAAATAGGGATAATGACCATATTCATATTTCTTCTTATAAGTCCCATTATCACAAATCCCAACCATGGAGTACTATTCACTTAAAACAGGAAATTCCCATGCTACAAGATGGATGAACCCAGAAGACACTGTACTAGGTGAAATAACAGATGCCACTTGCATGGGGTACCTAGAGTAGTTCAAAGTCACACAGGCAGAAAGGAAAAAGGAGGCTGCCAGGGGCTGGGGGCAGCACGCAAGGAATTTACCGTTTCATGGTGATGATACAGGCATGGATGGTGGTGACAGGGCACAACACATCCATGTCCTTAGTGATGTTGATGAGTGTACTTAAAGAGTTAAAATGGTAATTTTTGTTATATGTTACCAAAATTTTTCAAAAAGAAGACAGTGAATCACCCCCAAGCTTACCTCTCCAAAATCCCATAAAGGAGCAAAATGTCTTACCTCTAAATTATCAGGGCAGTATTTCTGTTCTAGGTCCCAAGAGGGTATTTCACCAAACATCACCATTAAGTGATCCACAAACCTAGGATGTAACATGTACTTTCTAGGTATCAATAACTCATGATTTATTTTCCCCTCACAGCCCCCAGCCAGCTATTCTCAGAGATGTCAAGATCATGTAAAGCACACAATGCAGGTCTAAGACAATTTAACAGCAGCACCCAAAACATATGTATCAATTATCCTGTTAGGACATAACAGTTTTCCTTACATTGACTCAGGTTTAGTAATCTCTCACATTATGTCACATTCTAAGTGTTAGCCCTATGAAATCACACTAGATGTGCTGTATTCTTCTAATGACTGCATACTTCAGTCACTACGCAGGTGCTGCTCACACTGATTCCACGTCTCATGAGAGGCACGCAGTGTCCTGTGGTGTCAGCCTTACAGGCAGCCCACTATGGTGGCAAAACAAGTCAGCAGAGGGAAAAATCAGCTGGAACACAGGTTATGCCAAACCAGACTGAACCCCTCCAAATTATTCTCTTTCCTCCTCAAGAATATGTGCCTCCTGCTGAAATAGCAGGAAAAGCGCATGCGACAAGAGCGTACGACTTCGGTGCCCGTACCTGGAGTCCTCATGAAATGCAGAGATGAAGTCTGACTGCGCGTGCTCTGGATACAGGAAGAGCACAGGCCAGCTCAGTCTGCCTTGGTCATCTATACCCAGCCTGGCTCCGTAGGGGTTCTCAGAGCTGAGCCCATTCAGGAAAAGCTCACCTCGACCTTCTGAGTCTGAATCTTCATCTTCACCAGCAGCTTCAGACACTAGTCTGATGTTCCTTGCCTGTTTAAAGACAAAAGCACACATCCCTGAAGGTGTGGAAAGATGCAAGCCCATTTCTCTAAGACAGAAACTGTAACACTGCCAGCGCCCTGAGAGCCGGCACTACATGAGTCATCTTCATTATCCCTGCGATCTGGCGCACACAAGCAAACATCACTTGTTTAACTTGGCTTCACTTCACTCATCTTCAGAGTCCCTTTGCTGAGCTCTGAGTTAGAGAGGAGCTAGACATGTTTCCCAACCCTAAGACCCTGCTCTCATTCTAGTGAGGTGAACTCATGAAAATAAGTAAAAGATAAAGAAAGAGGTGGAGCTATGAGCTGCAACTAATGTAGCCTGGGAGCTAGATGTGCCTGGGGAGTATTAACCCTTGAACAGCAACTCTGAAAGGCAGAGAAGCTGGGGTTTGTGGGAGTATGAGAAGCAAGGCCACACCAACCCAAAAAAGAGCATGTGCAAAGGCACAGAAAATATCAAGTGTGGAATGTACAAAAGTGGCAAATGTTTCAGCAGTAGCTAGAACATAATACTAAGAACAATGCAGCTTGACTTTACCTTGACTATCTCAAGTAAATGAGGCTGCATAAGAGGCCTAAAGAGCAGACTTGCCTCAGAGGTAGGTGTGGAAGTTTCTGAGGCTAGCAGGAGGGATAACTACATGCAATCAAAGTTCTCTTTAAAAACATCTCCTAAATCAGAGGTGGGCAGACTTTTAAAGGATTAGATAAGAAGTGTGTTAAGCTTTGTAAGCCACAGGCCTCACAAGTTGAAATTTAACTATTCAACTTTGCCCGTAGGATGAGAACAGCGATAGGAAACACAAACGTAGAGGCAGAGCTGTGGCGTCTGGCTACGGTTTGCCGAGTCCTGCTTTAAAATACAGTGTGTAAGGTTTTGTGTATACAACTGCTGGAAGCAATTCTTATGTACATTAAAATTTGAGATACAAAGGTCTGTATGCAAATGTCTGGGAATTCCAACAGTCTATATTTTAGAAAATGACAAATCCTTCATTTAATTAAGAATTAGATGGAGAGCCTGAGTATCATTCTACTTAACCTGATGTGTTCAGAGATTGCATACTGTAGGGTCTCAGAGTCAACAAGTAACTGAAATGGTGCGTGATTTACCTCAAAAAAGAATGAATAAAGAACCTATCCCCTAATCTCACCACAGATATGTTATCTCCCTCATGAGGACTAAGCAAGTCAAGGCTCATGCAGGTGACTTGATAGAGAAGTAAGATTTCAATTAGACTACATTCATTAGATTGAAAGGAAAGTTCTTTGCTCCGTCTAGCTGGATGCCAGCCTCTCTTGTCAGCAGTGCCAGTGCATCCCTGAGACATGGTAAAGGTCAGAATGAGTGGATTTGGCTGCACATGTGGTCAAGGCTGACTGATTTTAACTCTGGCAAAGTTGCCATTTAATGACCCCTTCACTGACTGCAACTACATGGCTACGTGTTCATATATGATTCCACCCGAGTTAAGTCCAATAGTACAGTCGAGGCCGAGAATGGGAAGCTTGTTATCAATGGAAAGCCTATCTCCATTTCCGGAGTAAGACCCCCACCAACATCAAATGGCATGATGCTGGTGCTTAATATGCTGTGGAGTCAGCTGATCTCTACAGTGCTTCAGAGAAGGCTGTGGCTAAGAGGGGCGTGGGGGTGCAAAAGGGTTATCATCTCTGCCCCTTCTGCTGATGCCTCCATGTTTATGATGGGCATGAACCATGAGAAATATGTCAACTCCCTCAAGATTGGCACTAAGGCGTCTTGCACACAAACTTTCCCCACCCCAGCCGAGGTCATCTATGTCAACTGACACTGTGATGACCACTCAATGCCATCATCCACCCAGATGCCTGTGGGTGGCTTCTGGAAGCTATGGCTTGAAGGCCCAAGGGCTGCCATGAACATCATCTCTGCTTCTACTGGCACCACCAAGGCTGTGGACAAGGTCATCCCTATGCTGAACGGGCCCCACTGTATGGCCTTCCACATCCCCACCCATTTTGTGGATCTAACCACTGCCTGGAGAAAGCTGCCAAATACCACAACATCAAGAAAGTGGTGAAACAGGCACCCTGGGCGCCCTCAAAGAGCACCTTCAGCTACACTGAGGACCAGGTGGTCTCCTGAGAATTCAACAGTGACACACACACCTTCACTTTCTATGCTGGAACTGGCACTGTCTTCAATAATTACTTTGTCAAGCTCATTTCTTGGTATGACAGTGAAGCCAGCTACAGCAACAGGGTGGAAGGCTTCATGGTTACATGACTTCTAAGAAATAAAAGCCCCCTGAGCATCAGCCCCCAAAAAGCACAAGAAGTTACTGAAGAGTCCTTCCCCCACTGATGGGGTCTCCCCTTCCCAGAACCCTGAAGGGGAGGGTTTTGGGAGCTCCATGCAATACATGTACCATCAATGCAGTAAATCTACCCAGGAAAAAAATGTAGGAAAGCACAGGAGAGCCAAAACTTGTTGCTGATAATACAGAATCGCAGCATCCTAACGATTCACTTTCTCAGGATGTAGTATAACACTAGGGAAGGAAGAGCAAGACCTGGTTCTGACACATATTAGCTACATGAAGTTTCTTTGCTTCTTTGCAACCATATCATCACCTAGCAAAAGAAGAGCTACAGTACCTACCTCAGAGGCTAATGGGAAGAGTAAGAAACCCTTAACCACCCAAGCAGGAGAGCTGACTGTACTCAGGGTATCTGACTCCATGGTGCCTTCATACACGGCTTCACCGAAAGCAGTATGAAAATGAATGATTCATTCCGGTCCAGCACTCCAAGAAAGGTTCCCAAAAGGCTAAAGTTTAGAGGATTTAACAAGACCATAACAACCTAAGGTTTAAGAACTCACCTTGATGGCCTGGAGTAAAGTATCATTCTGATTCTGCTCCTTCTTCTCTTTCAACTTTGCTTTCCTTATATCCCTCTGTTCAGTTCGCTGAAAATGAAATTCAGATGCATCAACTCTAGGGACATTGCTTCCTCTTCTGTTACCCCAGCCTGTCCCTATATTACTACTGGTCTATCTAACCCAGCCTCCTATGTCAAAGGATACCAGAGGCCAGATTCAGTTCAATCAACATGTCTGGTCAGGACTGGTGGCAGCAGAAATTTTAAGATCTATAATTGCTGCGCCCAAGGAACTTACTGTCTACTGAGGACAGACATGTGGTGTAAATCAAGTGCTATAAAACAGAAGGAATGACTGAGTCTTCCCTGTCAAAGAGATGGGCCAGACAGACAAAGATTTCACCAGAGTAAGGGCACTCTTGATGGAGGCTGACATGGAGCCTATGGGGCATGCCAGCTTCTCTGGTATGGCTTGAGTATGGGAAGCACAGTGGAAAAACCCAGGGCAGAAACTTAGTAGACTCTGCCTTTTGCAAGTTACAGCCCGCAGAACAAAGGACCACTGGTCTACTCAGCCTGGCAGAAATATAATTTAGATACCCTTTTCCTGCTAAATCTACCCCAAACATTATGAACCAATAATTCTGAGTCAGCAAACTTTCTCTGTAAAGAGCCAAAGAGTAACAGATTTTAAGCTTTAAAGACCATGTATGGCCTGTTATACATTGTTGTTTATAACCCTTTAAAAAATGTAAAAACAGGGCCCTCCCTAGTGGCGCAGCGGGTTAAAGCACAGCACTGAGAAGCTAAAGCTGCTTCCTCATGAGCTCGATTCCCGCCTGCCCCGGAGGTGACCACATGGTGTGGCAGACCTCTCCTGACCGCCCGCTGCTCCCCTCAGCAGTGTACTTTGATCATCCGCCTGTTCTGCTCCCCACTCTGTCCCTGGTGAATCCTCTCACCCTCCGCATCTCTGGCCTGTACCCCAGTTCTATATGAATAAATCAACCTTTAAAAAAAAGTAAAAACATAATTAGTTTACAAAATGTACAAAACAAACTAACAAGGGTTAGTTGACTGATCCCTGCTCTAAAATGAAGCAGCAACCATTCCTCATCATGCCCACGAAGGCTAGTAATAGTTTTTTTGTTTTTTCTTGTTAACAAAATCTATGTATCTTTTAGGAAGACCATGGCTGGTAATTCTTGGCCAGGTCTCTAATCCAGCTGGCCAAGAGAGCTGTGAAATCCTTTCTGTGGTTAGGAATTCTGATCATGCTATCACGTGCCCACTCCTCGGCTCCCCTAGCACTAGATCCGATTCTGCTTTCACAGGTTACGCCCGAGGACAGTATGTGGCCCACAGCAGAGAACAACTAAGATGGAGGTTAAGAAGGATGACTTCAACTATGTCCAATCTGTCTTCACTCCAGTTTATAAGATGTGAATGTGCAGTGGTCTCGAAGTTTCTGGTCTTGGCAGCCCAACTGCTCTTGTCCTCACCAGCCTCTGCTTGTGACCCGGGGTCTTCTGCAAGGTTAAATTTGCATTTCCCTGAAGACTAAATATATTGTGTACATTTTCATATGCTCACTATTTCTTCTGAGAAGTACCTTCAGCCACATAAACAAATACTCATTTTGAATAGATGTCTGTGCATTCTAGATACATATCCTTTTTCAAAAGATCTTCTCCCATCCCACAATTAGCCATCAATTTTTTTTTTTTTTGCTTTTACTAAGTCTGCTTACCAGTAATTTTGACTTTCACTGGTAATATATTTTAAACCTGAGGTGAAATTCCCATGACCTAAAAATTAGCCATTTTAAAGTGTCCAGTTCAATGGTATTTAGTACATTCACTATATTGTGCAACTATTAGTTCTATTAGTTCCAAGACCTTTTCAACAGCCTAAAAAGAAGTCACAAGCCCATTAAGCAATACCTTACAGTTTACTCCTCCCACAATCCTAGCAATCCCTAATCTACTTTCTGTATATACAGATTTACCTATTTTGGCTACAATATTCCCTTTTACATCTGGCTGCTGTTAGTAATCTATAAAGAAAGCCAGATGGAATTTTGATGCACACTGTATTGAGTATATAGAGCAATTTGGAGAATACTGTTATCTTCACATGTTAAGATCTGATGCCTGAATGTGATCATGTGTTCCCATTTAGATTTTCTTTCTTTCAACTGTATTTTATAATTTCAGAATATATGTTTTGTGTTATTTTTATTCTAATTATTTATGCTATTGTCAATGAGGTTTCTTAATTTTATTTTCAGAATGTTTATTAAAAATCAATAACTACTGGCCCTCCCTGGTGGCGCAGCGGGTTAAAGCACAGCACTGAGAATCTGAAGCCACTTCCGCATGAGTTCGATTCCCGCCTGCCGCCTGCCCCGGAGGAGACCACATGGCGAGCCAGACCTCTCCTGACCTGCCCGCTGCTTCCCTCAGCAGTGTACTTCGTCGATCTGTCTGTTCTGCTCCCCACTCTGTCTCTGGTGAAGCCTCTCACCGCCCCTGAGCCTCTGGCCTGTACCCCAGTTCTGTATGAATAAATAAATAAATCTTTAAAAAAAAAAAAAAATCAATAACTACAACTGCTTTTTCTAGTCTGATATCCTACATACTAGCTGAACTGCAGTCATGCATCATTTGTTGCTGCTATGCGCCAGAAATGCAGCATGTAATTAGCATGTTGTAGGTGTCTTAATGCTGGGAGTTACAAAATACTGCAGAAGCTTAAGGTTTTATTTAAATGTTTAACTGTTCTTTTCCCAACTCTCAAGACCTTTACAGAGTCTTAAGACTGCCATAGATTATGGCAGTCTTATGCTCTTTCTTATTTATTCAAATCTTGATAGCCCCAAATTTACCAGATAACTTAGTAAATGTCAAGAAATGTGTCAAAGAATACATACATCCATATTGTCTCCCTTACACACACAATCTTTTTTTTTTTTTTTAAGATTTATTTATTTATTCATATAGAACTGGGCTACAGGCCAGAGATGGGGAGGGTGAGAGGATTCACCAGAGACAGAGTGGGGAACAGAACAGGCAGATCAACAAAGTACACTGCTGAGGGGAGCAGCGGGCAGGTCAGGAGAGGTCTGCCTCGCCATGTGGAGCTCCTCTGGGGCAGGCGGGAATCGAACTCACGCGGAAGTGGCTTAAGTTTCTCAGTGCTGTGCTCTAACCCGCTGCGCCACCAGGGAGGGCCAGCACATACAATCTTTATAAAACCTCTGAGATATATATTATGTTCACCATTTTCAAAGCAGAGGACTGAATTTTAGAAATATCAAGAATGTGTTCAAAGTATACAGTCTGGTTTCACCTGGAAATGTCTGGAATGTAACTCTTCAGTCCCACTCAAGCAAATGAACTCATGCTCAGTCTTAATAGGCTCAAGTAGCCTTCTCGGCTACCACCACCTTCATCCTGCTTCAGGCCAGTGCAATGTTAGACACTACTATTACATATTAATAATATGTATATAAACACACACAATATATTCTTGCTTGCCTCTATCATATTAGACTTTTTGTTTATTTTTCTGAACTCTCTAGACTTTCAAAGGTAGAAAATGGCTTTGGATTTTGTTTTTAAAGAAGGAAAATTTACAATGATCCAAGAGACACAATATGAGAAATGCTAAATAATTAATGTTAATTAACAAACGTCAACTAGCTACTGACTGTGCCACCAACCTTCAGCTTGTCTGCTTTAGCCCTCAATTCCAGAAGCTTCTTCTCTTTGGCATCTATCTGCAGACCCTCATCACACCAGTTTACTGCCGCAGCAAAGTTCTTCAGTTCCAGATGGCATAAGGCACCTGCAGAACCCAGAACCTTTAGGATCCACAGACAACATTCATGAAAAGAGCATTCCTTGAGCAGGGAGTGTGCATGTGTGCACAGCCATACACCTTCACCAGCCAGCACCCTGTGGAGGATGATGGATGATAAAGCCCCTTATACTGCATTCCCCAGATGTAGAGGAATATTTTCTAAGTCTCAAATCAGTAAGATTTCTAGGGTCCATTCAACCTAATTCTCCTATAAGCCTCCCTGGCATTAACGACTCAAAACAGGGAAGGCTACAACCTAGTGGCAAGAACAAAGGCTTTGGAATCAGAACTAAGTCAGAAACTGGCTGTCATTTATCAGCTAGATAAAGGACTCTAAAGCATCTCTAAAGCTTCAAGTTTCTCATCTGCAAATGGGAATAAAGTTCATTTCAGGTGATTTTTAAAAACAGAGGAAAGGCACAATTTGTCCCAGCCATTTATCAAAACAGTGGCGAAGACCAAAGACATCAAAAGTTTCTCCTAAAATTGGTCTTCATGGCTACTACCTTAAGCTATCTCTCCTTTAATCATGTTTATTTTTCTCTGATTTTATCTAGATTTTTTAGAGTTTCAAAATACCAAAACTATGAGGGTTTAGATATCAACAGAATCCAACTTCAGCTTCCAGAGATGAGCAAATTGGTACTCAGAATAGGTCTAGCTAAGGTCACATAGCAGAGAAAACAGTTCAATTGAGGATTATAGACTTCCAGCCTAAGGCCAGTTCCCCAAAGACTACACTCGATTTACTTGCCAATCTTTAATACTTTCTTTCCCTATAGCTGAGGGACATGGCTCAAGTTACCACTCCTCAACCATGAATATCTAAAGATGCTTATTTTGATAAACTATTTTAAGTCAGTCCATATGGATATAGGGAAGATTAACATGTTATGAATAAATCAAAGTTCGCAAAGCCCCTTTGAGCTTCTCAAAAAAAAAAAAAGGTAAAATACAAAAGTAATAAAAGCATGATTAATTACTACATAGAAAGATCATACTACAAGAGAAAAAATAATCTGAGAACATCATCAGAGATATCAGCAAAGGTCCCATAACTTATCTTTTAATTAACATTAACATGGCATTTGATAGATCTTGCCTTTCAATCAGTTAATTTGGAAAAAATAAATAGAATGTGGCTTTGGAACTGCTTTAATTAATTTCATTTTTTATTAATTTAAAATGGAGTTTCAATTTCTCTACAAATTCTTAAAACACAAAGGCTTAGATTATTCTATGAGGAGTTCTTTTTAAAATGGCATGTTGCTGTTGATAAAGAACAAGTACTTAATATCAAGATTGCAAAGATAAGGTGACTTTATTAGTATCTTAGCACGTTAATATCAAATCTTAAATGTCTCAACTTTTGGTACAGAAGGTGCCAATTTTTCCATTGTACAGACTTACCTCGTACTATTGCTTTGAGATGGCAGGGTTTTAGCTTTCTGGCAGCTGTCACATCATTCAGAGCAGACCGAAAATTGCCTAACAAAACACCATTTAGTAAGAGAGACAAATCCTGAAATCAGAGTATTTCCAAAACTTTGTATGTAGTGACAAAGCACTCATGTATATTCTTGAAGAAATATAAAGGAGAGCAAATGTTTTTAGAAAAAAAATACAGTTGTGTTCATCAAGAAAAGTTTATAAACATCAAGTAACCTGTATAAAAATTATAAATGGCTAATAAGTATATGAAAAGATATTCAACATAACTAGTGATTAAGAAAATTAAAATTATGAGCATTTTAGGCCCTCCCTGGTGGCGCAGCGGGTTAAAGCGCAGCACTGAGAATCTGAAGCCACTTCCGTATGAGTTCGATTCCCGCCTGCCGCCTGCCCCGGAGGAGACCACATGGCGAGCCAGACCTCTCCTGACCCGCCCGCTGCTCCCCTCAGCAGTGTACTTCGTCGATCTGCCTGTTCTGCTCCCCACTCTGTCTCTGGTGAAGCCTCTCACCGCCCCTGAGCCTCTGGCCTGTACCCCAGTTCTGTATGAATAAATAAATAAATCTTTAAAAAAAAAAAATTATGAGCATTTTAAGTTGGTCCATATGGATTTAGGAAAGATTAATATGTGATGAATAAATTAAAATTTACAAAGCACCTTCAAACTATTAAAACCAGATAATATCCATATTGATGAATATATGGAAAAAGAGGGCTCTAAGGGCAATCAGAAAGCAAATCAGCATGTACTTTTTGTAGACACTTTGAGCCAACACATCCCAGGTAATCTTAAAAACTTGTGCAAATGTACAAAGATAAATGTAAACACATATAAACTAATTATGTTTAGTAGTGAAAAGCTAGATACCTAAATTTACTAATTATACATATTATGGTGAAACCATATGGTTGATTACTATAAGACCATTAAAGAGAGTAAATTGAATAAGCACATAAAAACACAATAGATTGTGCTAGTTAGGTGGTGATTCAATCTATAAGTCTTTTTGTAAAACAAACCAATTGAAATACATATATACACATATTTATCTATTTGTAAGTGCACGAATTAAAGTCATACAATCATATACTAGTTATCCAAAGTAGGATCCAAAGGTAGCCTTTTGTTTTATAGTTGATACTGTAAAAAGTTTTGTATTTACCATTAATTTCACTTTTAAAACTCTAGCCTACAAGATAGAAAAATTTTCTGTAAAGAGCCATACAGTGAATATTTTAAGTTTTACAGGCCACATATGTCTGTTATACATTCTTCTTTGTTTACAATCCTTTAAAAACAGAAAAAACATTTTTAGCTCACAGCAGGCTGGAGGTCCAGACATGGCCTATGAAGCATAGTTTGCCAAATCCAGCTTTAGCCTAAAGAAGAGTCAAAATTATTGAAATCTTTTATCACTCTAAATAGCTTTGCTCATTTTTGCATTACTTAAAAAAAAAAAAAACAACTAAAAGCAGTTATATGCTCAACAAGTAGAACAGTAAACCAAATAGTGTAAACATTGCTGTGTCTCCCTGATAAAACTTATGAACTTATGTTAAGTATTAAAATATTATTCACAAATAATTTCAAAGACAGGTGATGTTGTTTATGTTATAAAATGAAGTGAAAAGAATACAAAATTGGAAACACAGCATTATCTCAACTATGAAAAAAATGCATATAAAAAACCCAAAGACTTCCTGTTAAAGGTAAGACTCAACACACATATTTAACACAACCCCCACGATTCACATTAACTTCCTCACCCCTCATCTGGAAAAAGCCATAAACCATAAACCATGAGTCATGAGGAGTAAGAACACAAAACACATTTTAAAGATGGAAAGCTATGGGTAAAAAAGAAAAAGGAAAACAAAGGGATATGGGTTAGTGACTAAAGAGAATTAATAAAACTGAATTCTAAGCAAGGGAAGGAAAGCCCAAAAGCTACCAGGCTAAACTGCAGAATCTACTAGGGGCCAGGATCAAGAGTGCCTTCCACTTAATGCATTTGAATCAAAGCTGATTTGACATCCTAATCTCAGCACTGTGTACCCTTAGACAATTTATTTTTCTACAGTTATATTTTTTTCTACAGTTCCTTAATCATAACTAAGGACAAAGTTGTGAACCTCACCTACCTTACATAGTTGCTATGACATCAAGAAGGATACGTGAAAGTGCTTTCTAAGCCACACCAGTGGCACATCATTTAAGACGCGGCTGTGATTATTACATACTTGCTCCTATGGTAGCAAGTATACAAGTTTTATTTCACAAGAGGTCTAGTTAGCCTTGTACAAGACACTTTCAGTTGTCCAAGGAAAGGAACTATGCTGCTTTTGTTCACAGTGTAGTGCCTAGCATACAGTGTATGCTTTATATAGATTTAATGATTCAATAAACAAATAAATGAAACTCCTTTACAGAAAAGTGAGATGTTACTCATAATCTTGACACTAGATGCACACACAGCATAAGTACTAAACCTGTTTGCTGGTGAAAAGAAAAATGTATTCCTCTAGAAGTTAGAAGATTTGGTTTCTAATCCAGGTTCTAAAATTAACCAAAGAATTCCTCTCTCTGGGCCTTATAAAATGAGAGGGTTGGTGGCCCCAAGTAATCCCTAACATTCTATACCATTCTAACTTTTTTTTAGAATTTTATAATTAAACAGGCTAAAGGAGAAATCACTTGAAGTGTCTACGGTAGCGAAGAAACTGCTCAAATGATGTGGAGTCCGAACAGACTCATCCTGGCTACATAGTAAGGCCTGTTCTCTACCAGTCCTCAGAAATGCCAGTATTCATTCCCAGGTTCTCTTTAACTCTGCTAAGAAACTCAGGCCCAACATGAGCAACACTAGTCACCAGTAACAATAGCACCTTAATAATCAGTGTTTTTCAAAGTCACATCTGCTAAAGTATTACTTGAAAAGAGGGCTTACAAAACTTGAGAATCACAGGGTAAGTATCTCAGCATCTTTACTATTCTCACACACACTACAAATCTTCAAAAAAGGAAGCAGAAATCTTCAAATTTACATGTCCAAGGAATACTTTTTTTTACCTCAAGATCCCTCAGAATACTCTGATAAATTCTCCCTTACATTACTATCGTTTCTCTCACACAAAGTTCTCGATTGCTGTGACCTTCCTAGTATCCTTGAGAAGATAAAAGGTCAGAAAACAACAAACTAACTCTGAGAACAAAAGCAGTTGGGCTCAAAAATCCCCAATCATGGCCCTCCCTGGTGGCGCAGCGGGTTAAAGCACAGCACTGAGAATCTGAAGCCACTTCCTCATGAGTTCGATTCCCGCCTGCAGCCTGCCCCGGAGGAGACCACATGGCGAGCCAGACCTCTCCTGGCCCACCCGCTGCTTCCCTCAGCAGTGTACTTCGTAGATCTGCCTATTCTGCTCCCCACTCTGTCTCTGGTGAGGCCTCTCACCGCCCCTGAGCCTCTGGCCTGTACCCCAGTTCTGTATGCACAAATAAATAAATAAATCTTTAAAAAAAAAAAAAAAATCCCCAATCATATATCAAGGTACTTGATATCACACATTTGGTTTCAATAGTAAGAATTATAGTCTATCTGGTTTCCCTTTTTACCAAATGCACCTGGAAGATCAGCTGGTTCAGTCAGGACAAACTACCCTTAACTTAGGTTTCTGAGGAATTTCTCCTTTAAAATACATGCACATGGGCTTCCTTAGTGGCACAGGGGTTAAGAATCTCAGCGCTATGAAGCTATTACCAGCTACTGCAGCATGAATTTGATCCCCAGCCAGTGAGCTGACCCACACAGCACAGTGGACCTCTCCTGTCTCGACCAATGCTGCTCCCCTCAGCAGTTTATTTCAGTAGATCCACCTGTTCCACTCCCCACGCTGTCTCTGGTGAACCCTCTCACACACAACCCCCACCTCCACCTCTGGTCTATACCAGTTTTTATATGCATAAATAAATCTTTTAAAAATAAATAAAATACAAAAGTATGCAAGGATAAATGTAAAAGTATGTAACTACAGGGTTACTTTTTTTTTTTTTTAAAGATTTATTTATTCATACAGAACTGGGGTACAGGCCAGAGATGTGGAGGGTGAGAGGATTCACCAGAGAGAGAGTAGGGAGCAGAACAGGCAGATCGAGGAAGTACACTGCTGAGGGGAGCAGCGGGCAGGTGTGGATCTCCTCCGGGACAGGCGGGGATCAAACTCATGCGGAAGTGGCTTAAGCTTCTTTGTGCTGTACTTTAACCTGCTGCGCCACCAGGGAGGGTCACTACAGGGTTACTTTTAACTTCGAAAAGGTAGAGATAACCTAAATAGCCTCTATTTAGTGATGACTAATAAATTTTATTTAATAAATTAAGGCGCTCCTACCTTAATTTAAAGGAAGCTCCTCTTTCTCTGACACTGTCAACACTCCCAGTAGCCACCATAATAGCTCTTATCATAACTTAATTCTCTAGAAAACATTAAATAACAATTTACCCAGATAGTACTGCGCTGCCGCTCTGTTGGTATAAAGGACAACATTTAAATCAAGGTCTGCACATTTCTTCTTCAGTCCTTCAGTGTACGAAATCACAGCTTTTTTATAGTCTTTTTCTTTAAAGTAATCATTGCCTTCATCTTTATAGGTCTTGGCCTGTTCTGCAAAGAAGAGAAGAAATAATCACGATGTTTTATTTTTTAAAAGGTTCTTTTTTTAAAAAAGGTTCTAAATGATTCAATAATGCACTATAAGAGAAAACAGGGAAAAAATAAAAAATATGCTATAAAACTGAATATCAACATGGAAAAACAAGGTTGAATGCAATTTAATTCTACATCAGTTCCACATACCCTCCAAGCAGATTAGCAAGTGCTTACAAAAGTGAAACATAAAGGGGGAAAAAAATTATACTTATCCAAGCTCTTTAAGAGTTTTTTTTAAACTACCAAAGAAATGGGAGAAATTATGCTTTTGCTAATGTTGTCCCTCAGTAAAAGTCTACAAAATGTTAAGTTTCAAATTCCCAATGCATTATGATTCCACCTCTCTCCCTCTGCCCCATCAGTGTTCCAACTGCACCTAGCATACAGCTACATGTTGGCACTTATAGATCTGTCTTGAATCTTTAGGATAAGTTGGCAACTCACCGAAGTATGACCTTTGTGGGCAAGAACTATCTTATTTATCCCTATATCCTTAATACCTAGCATTTTGTAACTATCCAAAGAAGAACATGTGGAATAAACAGTGAAGACTTAACTCAGGTAACTACTTTCTGTTATCAGTCAGGACTTTTCTGAATCACTCTATCTCAATTGAGACAGAGGCACAAAACAAATGTTATTCAAGGAAAATACCTTCTGGAGATCGCTCATCATCAAAAATAATTGACTGGAGACAAGCCAAGTCAGGATTCTCCTTGGGATCAATTTCTGATGGCGCTTTCTTCATAAACAGGGGGATCTTTTCAAATTCCTGGAGATTAAGAGGAAAATGAATAGTACAAATAATTTTCCACTAAGTAGATCTAATTCCATGTGTCTATCTCAAAGTTTTCTTACTCATCATGATTTGCAAATCATTATAGTGGGCTGTTCTCTCTCCCTACCGAGGCCTCAGTTTCCATCTGTAAAATGAGAGTATAGGATAATGAGTCCTAAAGATTCTTTCCTTCCTCACACTACAAAAGGGGTAGTAATTACACTAATCGAGGCCTCTTGGTTTCCTGGCACTGTACCGACCACCTCATTTTGTGTTTGCCACAACCTTGCGAGCCTGCAGCTGTGGTCAGGGCACTTTCAGTGGATGACGGAAGGGGCTCAGAGAAGTTAAGCAACTAATCAGGGCCAGAAGTGATAGTGACTCTTCTGACTCCCAAACCTGACTCTTAGATATACTGACAGCTTAAGACCCTCAAAACCTCGCGGCAGATTTTTAGCACCCCGTAGGAACTATCCGCGGGCAGCCCAGGAGTCTGAGGGGTGGGCGGCGAGCGAAGTCCCAGGAATCCGACCGACGTCCACCCCGTCCCCCCTCAAGCCTCCCCACCTCTCCACCCTGACACACACACACACACACACACAAACACACGTGGAGCCCCGAGGCCCGCCCACCTCCTCCCACTGGTCCTGGTGGAAGCCTCCGCTGTAAGGCTGGCTCTGGAACTTTTCCAGGAATGAATCCATGGCGTCGTCGGAGGCGCCGTCCGGCTGAGACAGAGCCATAACTCCTCGGCGCTCCCGCCACTGGGGGTCTAAGTGCCAAGAAATGCGCAGCAACTTCCGGCGGCGCGGCGCGCTCCCCTCAATCGTCCGGACTGCGCCTGCCCGCGTGCCTCCGGTTCCGCCGAATAGGGGCGTGGCCGGCCCGGCTCCGCCTCTCCCCCCGCCCGCCACGCCCTCCCCGCCACCTGCCGCCTCAGCTGTGCAGCACCTGTTAAGACCCGGGAGTACTTTGGGGGTGCTGGATAAACCCAGGGCCTGACAGTTCCCCTCAACCACTTCATTCACGCATGTATGGAGTTAATCAATACATTTCCTAAACTCCTACGTTTCAGGTTTGTTCTAGTCGCTGGGTATACAGTGGTGGGCAAAGCGGACAAAATGCCTGCCCTCTTGTCCTTGATAAGCTAGCAGAGGGAAACGTGGACGCTTAAGGTGTGAGATTTCGTCGGGAAGTACCGAGAGCTACTGGTGAAATTTTAAGCTGGGTGAGCCATCATTCAGTCAGAGGAGGACTGTCATGGCTCACACATTCTCCATGGAGAGGGTGGTCAGGATGGAGGCCTGATGGGGAATACCGGAGTGGGTGGGGTGGGGTGAGGTGGGGTAGGGCAGAAGGGGAAAGGGGGGTGAGCAGAAGCAGACGACTCTCCAGTCTGTTTCTGTCTCGCAGTTCACAGGCAAGCTGAGCCCCCACCTGTGTGGCCAGACCCCTGGACATCTCCACCAGCAAGGCACCCAAGCCCCTCAGTCTCACCACCTCCAAGTTCAACCCCCACCCCTCCTCAGACCTGCTCCTGGAGCCAAGGGGCCACTCAGTGGAGGGACACCACCCTCTCTCTTCCCACTCTGGTTGATTTGCTGTTGGTCTTACGTTCCATGTGCCCTGCTTTATCCATACGTTTCCAACATGTGATCATTGTAAAGCATTCAGAGTGGTGGCAGAGAGCTTTTGTCTGAGAAGGCGTCCCTGACACCCCAATTCCAGCTGACCTATGTACTTCCTCTGGACTCGCGTCCCCTTTGCCCTTCACTGCTGATATGCAAGGCTGTTGGTATCTATATATGTCTCTGAGACTTCCATTTGACCACAAACCTTTACAACCTCAGCGCTTTTAACAACTTGGAGTGGGTACTCTCTGCCACGGAGGCTGTCCTGTGCCTGGTGGGGTGCTGAGCAGCATCTCTGACCTCTGCCCACTAGATGCCAATAGCACCCTCCTCCCCAAGTTATAACAACTAGACATTGCCAGATACTATATGGGGGTCAATTCGCCCCAGTTGAGAACCATTGCATCAGCCGATGAACTTCCCAGGGCCTGGGTCATGTCCATGTCTATCTCTGGCACCAAGAACCAGCCTGGTCCATCTTGGCTCACTAAATGTTACTCAAATGGGTGGCAGCCAATCACGGGGCAAAGACCCAAGGATGGAACAATCAAGGTTCTGGGATACTCATGATGACATGGGGGTGAGTTGCTTCCCTTTCTTTGCTCTTTCATCCCCCAAATGTTACACAAATCCTCATCTTGTTTCATTGTTCTACGCTCCCGATAAGGGAGGGGAGCTGAGACGCCCAACAGATGTGCTGGTGACCCTGAAGCCTTCACCTCTCTGAGCCTGAGCTTCCCGACTTATAAATGTGTACAAAACAGCCCGTGTAAGTCCATAAATATTGACTGAGTCAACGTGAAGGCCATGATCAGCTCATGGGTTCGTCACACAAAGCGATGGTGCTCCAGATCACAACACACTCGGGGGAATGGTAAACCACGTGGCACTTGGAGTGAGTACGGCTGGGGTTGTGACTACCCCTGAAGAGGGCTGAGACATCACTGCTTCAAGGACATCTTCCAGGAGCTCAGTGCCTGCATGATCCAGGAGCGCCGCTGGTGGGAAGTGGGCAAGTTCTCACAGCTGGGGTTCCAGCGGTGTGTGTTGGCGGGGTCACACACCCACAAGTCCCCGTGTGGCATTGGCCAGGAGTTCCGCCAGTAGCTGGCCAGGATGTGGTCCTGTGCCAGGGATGCATAGATGCACACAGACGCCTCTGGGTCATGTCTCAAGTTCTCCAGAGCTGGGTCAGGGGGAGGGAACAAGCTGGTTGTTAAGACGAAGCCCCACTTGGGCCCCACACCTCGTCCTTCCCTCTCACGTCCATACCTTGGCTTGGGCACTCTGCTTGGCATTCTCTTATCTCACTTTCCTCCCAGCGCTTCAACTTGCCATACCTTTAATAGCCTCCTCCTCCAGGAAGCCCTCTTACACTGCCCCAATCTACCTTTATGTTCATATCATTTTCCCTTGTTACAAAATTAATCTGTCCCCACAAGAGTCTGAACTGCTTGCTCTGTACTAAGTGGCTTTGGATTGGTTTTCTGGGTTCAGATGACAGGACTACCTGGGCTGGGTCTGTATGTTCTGTCTCTTGGTGACCCCATCCAGGTGAGCACAGTACTCACCTGGAGGAAGACTGGCACAGCTGAAATGAGTTGAGGGCTGTGGCCTTGGGGCACAAGCCCTTCCCTTTCTATGACCCACTGCTCATTCTCTCACTGTGCCACTCCCCCCAACCCTCCCCAAAATCTCAGCAGGGACAGCCAAGACTTACTGGCTTTAACTTCATCCAGACGATCTTCTGTCATTATGTTCTCCATGCAGGGAACCAGGGACCCTTGAGCATAATCCAAGAGGTGAGTGCATCCACATCTGGACTCCAAACCCCTCCCTAGGCGTGGACTCCCTCAAGGGATCTCTCCCTACCCTCTTCCAGTCCCCAAATGAGGACACTAAAGGACCCTGGGAGGGACGGCAGTCCCTCAGGGGCAGTGGTGGTGCCAGTACAGGAGTCGGGTCTAGACTGCAGCTGACTCTCCCTGACAATGTGGCCCTTGGGTGTCCCTTCTCCAGGCTGACCCTCAGTGCCCTCATCTGAGTTGCCACGGCTGCCCAATTCTCCAGGGAGTTTGAGCAGCACTGATGTGAAGGACACCTAGCCCCTCGGCACAGTGCTGAGTCCTCCCTACTCCCGGGCTGGGTGCCCGGCTCCCAGAGTACCTGCAGGTCCTTGGGTAGCGGGCCCTCCTCCCAGCAGACCTGTCCCTTACTTCTTTGCCTGTTTGTCTGTGAACAGCCATGTGTCGCTGTATCAGTGATGTGCCTGTGTTGATGACGGGCCGCCCAGGTGATGACACCCCTGCCTACAGCCTGGGTGTTTTGTAGGCTCTGCCATGTGGGCCTCTGACTGCCGCGTGACGATGAAATCGGGTCACATCCCAATGGTTAAGCCTGTATTCTGCTTAACATAATCACTCCCCCAGGAAACCCTACCTGCCCCTGCCCTGGGCTCGGTAGGTGCCTCCAGAGGTTCCCAGAGTAGCTGCGAGTAGCTATATATACTGTGTTGTATTTTACTTGTGACTTATGAGCATCTCCCACCAGACCAAGGGATTCTTAATTTCAGATCCACCAGAGACCAGAAGAGGAGGGGCATTCTCTAAGGACCTTTCAGTCACATGCTCCACTGTGTGCATCTGTCCGGTTTTCCTGGAAAAATGTTCGTAACTTTTTTTGGGGTGTCACAAAGCTGATGATCCCAAAAAAAGTTAGGAACCACCGGGGACACTGTCTGCAGGCAGATGTGGGTGCCACTCAGTTTTCTTTTCCCAGAACAGGCCCTGCTGGGTGCTGAGAAGACTCCCTGGGTGTTAAACACCAACATATTTAGAAGTGACTCATCATAGCAAGATTTAGAGAACTGAGAGTGTAGAAAAATGATGTCAGTCTGCACGACAACCATCTCTAAGCAGGCCCTCACATTCCCAGGGGTGCTCCCAGGTCTGGGTACTGCTCCATGTTAGTAGCCCCCACTCACCGCCCACTGCCGCCATCAGCATCACCTCCTGAGGGCTTCTCTGCTCCTCTGGACTAAGCATAGGGGCATGACACAGGGGCACACATGAACCAGGAAAGGGGTGCATGGGCGCAAACAGGTGAATGCCTTGGGGAAAGGTCCTAAAGGAAGCATCGCCTCACAGAGCAGATGCCGGGATGGTCACCCTCTCCATGCGGTTTGCAGCTTGGTCCTGGGCCTTTGTGAAGTGTATGTGGCTATTGTGGGGCGCGTAGGAGTGGGGAAGAGTAGGTGAGAGGAGGCATACTCAGCAAACCATCCGAATGATCCTGGGGTGGGTGGGATGCTGGGTGCGGGAAATCTGTGTTCCTCCCCCCACCCAGAAGTGCAGAGGATTAGATTGTGGGAAATAGAAGAATGATAGTGACTAGCAAACAGTGAACACCTTGACAGTCCAGGTATCACACTTCAAACACTGTCCTCATCCAGCCTGTGAACTAGGAGTTGATCCCCATCTTACAGATGAGAAGACTGAGGCTCAGTGGGAGTCAATGACTTGGCTGGGGTCACAGAGAGAGGGGAAACCTGAGCTAAGATTCTACTCCACTCTCTCCACTGAGCTACCTGGCCCCTCCTGCCCCCGCCAACAGCAGGCCCGTGCTGGGCTTGGGCCCACCTCTACCCCAGGGGAAGCGGCAGTTCTATGTGTACAGTTGCCAAGGCTGTGACCCGCACCAGGGCCCTGGGCTGAGTGCAGCGTGTGGCTCAGGTTGAGCCGGGCTCACTTCCCAAGCCATGATCTCAGAGGAGGGAAGAGCTTTCTAACTTGCATTGTGCTGTCTGCAGGCCAAGCCTTGTGTCCACAGGGAGGCACCTGCACAGGCACCCAAAAGGGAGGAAAGCTGGCAGCTTGATTCCCAGGGGAGGAAACAAACAGCAGAGCAGGCAGAGCCATGGCGGCAGGACCCTCTCTGTCAGGGCCGGTTACCTATGAAAATGACTGAGGCCTTCCGGAGGGAGGCCCGGGACTTCCTGGCATACTCCAGGCTCTGGCTGAGGAAGGTGAAGGCGCTGTCTCGGTAGGTGTTCACCTGCAACAGAGAGCGATCCCGATGCTGGGCCTTTGGAAAGACTAACTACCCTACTAACCCTCGCAAAGCTCGGAGTGGTAACCTGGGCAGGCAGCCCGGCCCTGGGCACTGCCCCCCGCGCAGCCAGCCCCCATCTTAGCGTCTGCCTGAGCTTCCCAGAGTATCCTCGCAGTTGGTTTGCCCTCCTGCCTTGGGCCTCTCCTCTTCCAATCTGCCCCACTGCTGCAACTGGAAGGAAAGTCCAAAACTCCAAGCCCCACAGAGATGAAAATGGACTTGGCGGGCAGAGTCATGATTGCTGAGGAGGCAAAAGATGCCAGATACAGAGCAGTACTTCTTCTGGGAAGAAGCCAGAGAGTTGTTAGAATTTTAAAAGCTCTGAAGAGCAGACAAGAGTAGGGCTTACTTATGATTAGGAAATAGAAGCCACATTCATTCCTGATGGAACAATGACAAAACAGTGTTTCGGGAAAGCTCATCAGACAGTGGTATTCAGGAAGGGGTTGATCAGGTATAAACTAGGGAGCAAGTATCCTGTTAAGAGACTGTGAGGAAATGAAGAGAAATCCCATCTGGTCACTCTCCCACTGACAACTCCTGAAGATCAGAAGTCAACTGGTTTGGGGTGCAAAACATTCATCAGACTGAACTCCCACTACTGCCTCCAGCTGCCGCAGGTGTTGATGCCAGGGGAGCTCTAATAGACCCTCTGCATGTCAACTTGTGTCTAGAGTCTCTGTCCCGAGGAACTGGCCCTGACTACAGGGAAGGCAAAGCTACCTATAGATTCTGTGGGAGAAAATGGCTGTGCCCTGCAGCCGTGTGTGTGTGTGAGTGTGAGTGTGTGTGTTCCTCCTACTGTAGGATGGTCTCAGGTATTCCCTAGGATGTTCTATGATTAAATAAGTTTGGGAAACCATGCATGCATAGAAGAACTATGAAACATTCCCTTAGCACAGAACATCTCTGAGCCACTAATGTGTGGCTGGCATTGCAACTCTCCAGGAGAAAGAGACAGCATCTCCCAAATTTAATTGTCTTAGAACCTTTTTTCTCCCCGTGGGACATATCTTGGGGGTCTGGTGTCAAAAAGAATACACCCTAAGAGTTAAAAGTCACTGTTGCAGAAACAGGAGCCGCTGATGCCCTGCAAGCAGGGAAACGCCATCAATCATTGCTTAACAATGTCCCAGGGAATGATGCTGTCCCATGCAGCCAGGTGTGTTGAAAGCTACACCATCTACTTTGTATGATTACATCCCAGGATGCTCACACAAAGATGGAGTCACCTAAGGATGTATTTCTCAGAACACAGCGCCATCGTGAAGTGACGCGTGAATGTAGAGACAGATTCATGTTTTAACCAGACAACTCTGGAGCCTGGGTGGGGGTGGGTTGGAGAGGATAAGATGGAAGGAAGCTTAGAGACCCCTTGGATGGCTGATGGCTGGACCTGGCTGATCTGAACGAAGGGTAGTGACAGTGGTGATGGGGAGGGCAAAACAGACTCGGAGATACGTAGGAGACTTAGGAGTGATCAGATGGGAGTGGTTAAGGCTGATGAAAGAGGCTAGGATGGTTGTAGGATTCAGCTGTGAGAATCTACAAGGACAGAGCAGAAGTGAAATGAGGCCATAAGTTCAGAAGAGACATGTTGAGTGTGAAGAGCCTGGGCCCTGTGACGTGGGGGCCACTGGAAGTGGGCAGGGGAAGTCCGACCTGGAGATGACCATTCAGAACCAACAACTTGCAGGTGCTGATGGAGTGTCAGTGTCAGTCCGGAGGCTTGTATAAAAAGAAGGATGCATAGGGCCCTCCCTGGTGGCTCAACAAGTTAAAGCACAGCACTCTGAAGCTATCACAGCCTCTGCAGCATGAGTTCGATCCCTGGCCAGGGGGGTGACCAAGCGTTCTGGCATGGCAGACCTCTCCTGTCTTGCCCGCTGCTCCCCTCAGCAGTGTGTATTTTCAGTACATCTGCCTGTTCTGCTCCCCCCTCTGTCTCTGGTGAATCTTCTCACCCACCACCACCCCCATACCTTGACCTGTACCCAGTTCTGTGTGTATAAATAAATATTTTTTTAAAAAAAGGAAGCACAAAAAAAAAAAAAAAAAAGGAAACACAAAGCAGAATAATCCTCCTCCGATATGCTCACAAGGAACTGCCACAGTCTGGGGAGCACTCACCAGGTACTTGCAAATTTTGGCTACTGTCTGTTGCTTGTTGTCCCAGGGCTTCCGGCTATATGCTCTTTTTGGCAGTTCCCAAGCCATATAGCAAGAACAGCGGAACAGGGTCTTCACACATTTCTGGGGGCCAACAGGAAGAGAATGTGGGACTCCAGCACAGCTGGTACATGTTCAGAAAAAAAGATCGTGAAACTAGATTTTTGAAAATCAATTCCTGGTTGAAATACACAAGTGACAGTGGCTGTTTTGAAGAGAAATAGTGACGTGGGTGCCTTTGGAAACGGACTCGGCTGCCCCTTAGTAAGTCATCAGCGGCACTGAGGGATTCCAGCTTGGTTTCTGTAAGGGGGAGAACGCCCACAGGGCCAGGGCTGAGTGCACTCACCTGGCCCACCTTGGCATTGCCCTCTTGCATGGTCAACAGCAGGGGCACCAGGGTGCTGATGAGCTGCTCCTCCACGACCGGGGTGCGGGCTGGCCGCAGCTTCTGGACCACCTTGCCATACAGGTTGACAGAGGAGCACCGCACGTCTTCCCGGGGCTGGGGCAGACCTGGGGGCTCAGGTACACTCCCTCCTCCAGGAAGCTGCCTGGCCTCTGTTTCCCAGCTGGGGACACCACAGCCTGCCTCCCACCCATCCCCAGAGTGCTCCAGGTACAAGAAGCACGGAGAATGGCAGAGGCCAGCTTGGAGGCTGGGGGGGTGATCTGTGCTGGAGCACCCCTCACCTGTGCCTAGGTTCAGCGCTCTACCCTTTCTTCCCAGCCAGGGCCCAGCTAACCTAAAAGGTGCCCCTACACCAAGCAGAAAACTGCCCCCTTTGTCAGGACCAGTTAAAAAATATATGCACCCTCTTGGAGAGCCAATCACATTGAAATGCCCCGCCTGGAGACGTGACTGCTAATGCAGAGCCCCTCTGTGAGAACCCGTTACAAAAGCACACACACCAGCTGCAACAAGTGGCCCCTTGTCCTGGGCTGACAGGCCCTGCCTAGGTCGGAGCGGGACTTGGGAGTTACTGCAGTCCCCCAAGTGGGTCATAAGACTGCTCCCTACACACCAGCCCAAGCCCACCCACCATGACCCCCGTGAGACGCCTTACGTCACTGAAGTGCGGCAGCAGGACCTGCAGCATCTCCACATAAACCAGGTTGTCCATCAGCTTCCGGTCCTGCCCCTTGAAGATGGTCTTGAGGTTCTGGATGGCCTCCACCACCAGCAGCCCATCTACGCTCTTCAGGCCCTTCACCATGGAGGGCAGGAGGGCCTGGACTTTGGCCGACTGTGGGGCGGGAGCATTGGGATGCGGGTTCCTACCTGGGCTAACCAGCCTCTGACTCACTGAGATGAACGGGGCCCCAGCTCCAGGCCCTTATGTGTACCATCTCACCAAACAGGCCCACTCAAGCCCTTCCGCTTCCTAAAGCCCTCTGTGGCCTCAATGACCCTGGATACTCGAGGCCCTTTGTTGTCTGCTCCTTCCCCTGGCACTAGCTGGAGGAAACCCTGCAATGCTAGTTAGGTTTTTGAGCCTGCTGTCCTGTCCCTCCCTCCTGCTGTGCCATGAGCCATGGCTGGCGCCTGGATAGGAGGGGGAGTTTATAATGCTAATAGCACCAACAGCCTGGTCCTCACTGCCTCTGGCAGCCCCTCTATAGCGTCATAGTGAAAATTCTGGGTTAGAAACTATTTCAAAAATAACAAAGTAGGGCCCTCCCTGGTGGCGCAGCAGGTTAAAGCACAGCTCTGAGAAGCTTAAGCCACTTCCACATGAGTTCGATTCCCGCCTGCCCCGGAGATGATCCACACGGTGCGGCAGACCTCTCCTGACCCGCCCGCTGCTCCCCTCAGCAGTGTGCCTCGCTGATCTGCCTGTTCTGCTCCCCACTCTGTCTTGGTGAATCCTCCCACCACCTCTGACCTGTACCCCAGTTCTGTATGCATAAATAAATAAAAATCTTAAAAAAAAATAAAGTATCTAGAGAGATGATTCTTTAGGTTTATCCATTTCCACACGGGGCTGAAATGGGGTCTCATTCCAGATACCAGCATCTGAATCAGTGATGGCTCAATTCCATCCTCCCTGCAAGCAGGGCCTGGCCAGACCAGGCCATCCTCCAGCCTCCACTCACCTTCTCAGTCCGGCTGGCCAGGATGACCAGGCCTCGGATGGACAGCACCTTCATGATGGGGTCCCGGTGGTTCAGGCCCTCGGCCATCCGCCCCAGAGAGTACTCCTCTGGGATCCGCCGCACCTGCTCCATCTGAAGGAGCTAAAGGGGTAGCCGTAATCACTCCCAGCCCAGGGCCCAGTCTCCACACACGCTGCTAGTGCAGACTGATGGCCAGGGACTGGGGGGGGGGAGGGTAGGGAGGGCGAGGGGGTTCTGAACCCTGGTGTCTGGTCAGCAAAATCCGGTGTGTGCCACAAACGAAGTGGCCATTTTCCAGTAGGCACAATAAAAAATTTAAAAGAATAGGTGAGATTCATTTTAATAATATATTTGATTGAACTCAATAAGTAAGGTTATTTAAGGTTAATAAATAAGGTCCAAAAGGTTATTTCAGGATGTAGTAATCAGTAAGAAAATTATTGATATATTTGACGGGTTTTCTTTTTTAATGTTGAACCTTGGCTGCTGTGAAGTTTAGAACACATTTCAGTTCAGTCATTTCACTACATTTTGAGCGCTTACGAGGCACCATTGGGCAGCGCAAAGTTGTTTCTTGACAGCCACAGGCTTCCCCGGCCCCACCCAGCCCTCTGAGCTGTGGACTCACGGCCCTGATGCCTGAGCCCTGAGCTCTGGGGCCTGTTTTCTCTGTCCCACTTCCTTTGCCCATTCTCCTCCATGAGCTCCCCCATTCTCGGCAGTTTTTTTTTTTTAAGATTTATTTATTTATGCATACAGGACTGGAGTTCAAGCCAGAGGTGCGGGGGATTCACCAGAGACAGAGTCTGGAGCAAAACAGGCAGGTCCACGAAGTACACTGCTGAGGGGAGCAGCGGGCCGTCAGGAGAGGTCTGCCGCGCCATGTGGTCACCTCCGAGGCAGGGATCAAACTTGCACTGAAGTGGCTGCAGCCAGCTTGCAGTGCTGTGTCCTTACCTGTTGTACTACCAGGGAGGGCCCCACTGTTGGGATTTTAACTACTCCAGAGGCAAATAACTCCCAAGTTCTGCATCTCCAGTCTCAGTCTTTGTCCAGAGATTCTGACTTGGAAAGCCACAAACTGTCCTCTGGACACGTTGCCCGAGGTCATCAGCTCGTCCTGGCAAAGCTGCTTATTCTCCAGCTCAGAGCCTCAGAGCCCCCACCCCTCCATACACACCTTTTGCCTTTCACCAGCAGACTCTACTTACCTCTACTTACCAGCTTCTAACCAAGCTGCCTGGTGCCCATGGTGCACCCAGGCTGATGCTCCTGCCCCTCACTGCAAGCCTCCTGTTCTTTGACCACCCTCATCATAGTGAATGCCACACCATGGCACCCCAGGTATACACAAGCAAAGGCACTCAAGGAGCCCAGGGAGCTCTGGGAAGCGTGAAACAGGGTGCAGGAGTGGGGAGAAGGGGAAAGAAGGGAGGCAGTGTGGAGGTGGGAAGGGGACCTACGCAAGGTCTTCATATTTAAGAGAAATCACACTTGGGAAGACTGCGGACTTTTAAATACTGTTTTCCTAGGAGAAACCATCAGTCATGTGACCTTCCCCAGGCCCGGGGCAGGTTGGGGGGCAGTCCCGGTCCTGTGTGTGGTGCCCACTAGGTACCTCCACGAAAAAGGCAGTGGCGGTGATCTTGTGCTTCTCGTCCCCTCGCTCCAGAAGTGGGATGAGCAGGTAGAGGAGGCGGCACAGCTCCTGGCAGGAGTACTGCACCATGGCCCTGGGGGTGGGGAGGAAGGGCAGCCCCCTCAGGCGCTCCAGCCCTGGGGGCCGCTGTGTGCACATCTGACCGTGACACTAGGAACTTTGGGCTGGGCGGAGCCACCTGGCTCCTGCAGCCCCAAGATTTCCCACTTGCATCATATCTCAGAGGTCACCTCGTTTAACTGCTTTGTTTTACAGATGGGGGAACTGAGGCTGGGGCAGCTATCCTGCCAGAGAGCAGAGCTAACAGGTAAGGGAGACCGGACATGTGCAGGAGGGACTGACTGACACCAGCAGCTGTATGGTTTCACTTCCGTGCCCTTTCCCTCGGCCTCACCATTGTCCTGCCAGCTAGCTTACTGTTACTTTCCTTGTTTCACAGAGGAGGAAACAGGCTCCAAGCATCAACTGCCCAAGGTCAAAGAGCTGGGCCATGGCGGTCAGAGTCCCAAATCAGGGCTGCATTCCAGTGGCCTCCTTCATTCTACTAAGCCAGCGACCCGACCCTCAAAGTGTGTTGGGACCAGCAGCAGTAGCATCCCTGGAAACTGTCTGAAATTTGTGTTCTCAAGCCCCCACCCCAGATCAACTGAATGAGAAACCGAGGCTGGGAGCAGCAGTCAATGTTTCTGTGAGCTGGGTACATGACTGGGAGGTACACTCGAAGCAGGACCATGGCACAACTCTAGTGAGTCAAGGAAAGAGCAGCAGCTGAACAGAGTGAGGAATAACACAGCTTAGGTCAAACTGTGGCCTCACCACTAGCTGTGTGTCAAGACACTTTACCTCTCTGCCATGGGTAACACTGGACGAATAACAACACTATTTCACACATCATGGTGCGAACGAAACGAAATGATCCATGTACATATAGCCCTTTGCATAGTGCCTAGAGCATGACAAGGGCTTAATCAACATGGCTGGGTCCTGAGATCCCCCAGGAGAGCATCATTCTGGGCCCTTAGGGTGCAGGGCTAACAAACAGGCTGTTCTTGCAGGTGTCACGTTCCTGGAATTCGAGGTCTGCGGCTGACTCCATGGAAGGCTATGTGCAGAGAGGAGAGTCCGGGTCTGGGCCTGCAGGTCATTTCCGAGCTTTGCCTTTTCCTAGCTGTGTGATCTATGATACATAACTGGCCTTCTCTGGACTCCCCTCCTCTGTAAAAAGTGTGTTAATAATCCCTGCCATACTAGACACCATAATGATGGTAAAAGCTACGCTGGGCTGAGCTCTTTTATGTAGGTGGCTCTTCAAAGAACTTTCTGCAATGCTTAGCCTAAACCTTGGAGATGGGTCCTGCGTTATTCCCATGCTATTGATAGGAGACTGAGACACAGAAGGGTACCCAGCTGCAGGTTGTTGGGGAAGTGAGGAGTGGGGTTCATGACTGCAGGCAGACTGGCTCCAAAGCCACACTAATGCCTCCTAGTTCCTGCCTCCTCAGCGACCACCATTTCTGCAGTTAGCTTGGGAACTGCACTCATAATACCGTGAGCTCCGGTGCCTCGTAACAACCCGTGCCCTGCAATGCCAGGCGCTGCTGGAGCCACAGTGTGGTTCTGCAGCACGGGCACCCTCTTTCACATTTGTATTTCTTTAATAGAGAGAGATGATTTTTTAACATCATTCTTCACTTTGTGCATTTTCCATCTCAGTTGTAATCCCCATGGAGTTCCCCCCACCAATTCACCTGTGTGCCATCACCATAGTCCCGTGCGCTCTTCCCATTGGTTTCTACCCACTGAGGTGGATGACCCTCTCCTGGGTGTAGAGAGGGCGTGGGCGGGGCCAGGGGCTTGCCCAGAAAGAGATCTGGGCAAATGAATGTAGGCCCTCCAAGTCCCTCCTAAGATGAGGGGAGATGAGGCTCCCGCCTGGGGTGGGGGGAGGGCTGCTCACCTCGCCAGCAGGGACACTCCACGGTGGTGGTTCTCCGCCTGCTCCAGGAGCTCCCAGCCGCCCTGGTCCTCCAGGAAGGTGGCCTCGTAGGCGCAGCCCATCTTCAGCAGCAGGGTTTTCACCACTTTGACCACCCAGCTGCCAAGACAAGAGGGCTGAGACCTCAAGCCACCCTGTCCGTGGAGAACAGCACCTCCCACGGCACCAGCCTCACCAGCTGTGACCCCCAAGTGGCCAAGAAACGCCCCTCTGTCCCCACGCATTGTCAGACAACGTCGCTGTATCTACAGAGTGGCTTTTCAAAATAATGATTAGCGTTGAGAACAAGAGAGTAAACAGAAGCAAGATTCCCCTCCCTTTTCTCCAAGCCTGGCTTCTGGAGGGAGCCTTCTGAGCCAGCTCGGGCTGGCTCCAATGCACCACTAACTGGCCAGAGGGCAGGAGCCCCACAGGACAGTCCTCTCTGCTCACTCAGACACGGTCTCCTGTCCAGACCCAAGTGTTTCATTGCCTTGGGACACGGATAGAGGGATTCCTAGACCCCAAAATCCATTTAAAAAGGGATCCCTAAACCCCAAAATTGGCACAGCAGTAGTCCTGAGAACTTTGACGATCTACGAATTGACTAGGTTGGGACCCTAATGACCTCTGCACTTTTTGAGCTCTTGGGTGATCTTGGGAAGCTCGCCTGGTTCACCTAGGGTCATCTCACCTGGAGATTCTTCATTAGGTCAGCAAAAACTCTTTCCTAATAGTCACAGTGATAGGTTGCAGGTGGACCCATCTTTGGGAGTGGAGGAGGGCGCCCTTCAGCCCACTATACCCAGGAACCTCTGCATGGCCTTCCTGGCCCCTTCAATGTGGCATTGCCGGACTCTGTGGGGCGATGGTGAGGGTGGGCACTCAGGCTCTTCCGGCAACCTGTGTGCACCTCAGCAGGTGAGTCCCCCATGTCAGGAAGTCTTTCCTTTCATTGCTTTCCAGTCAAGAACTCTTGTACTTCATGTCCCTCTCCCCCTCCCACAGACCCTATCCACTGTCCGCCTTTTTTTTTAAGTCAAAGGTGACACCTTCAGGGTGGCTCCTACAAGTGTGAGTTTAATGGAAATTGATGCCACAGCCACGGCCTGACATACTGCCCTGATATGCTCCTGTTTGGTTCTTACACCCAACAGTGGGTCGGCACTTACCCTATTTCATAGCAAGGAAACCGAGCTCCCACGGGGTCACATTATGCACCGGAAGTACAAAGCACTAACTGACAGAGCCAGGATGCGAACCCAAGCTGTTCTGACTTCAAGTCAAGTCACGGCTGCACGTTCTCTACCCCTTGAAGGACACCTTCCAGAGCATACTGCATAGCAGAAGCCAAGAAGGAAAAGACTAATAAACTAATAAACCGACTACATAAAAATTTTAAACTTCGGCCCTCCCCGGTGGTGCAACGGGTTAGGACACAGCACTACAAGCTAGCCACAGCTGCTTCAGTGCAAGTTTGATCCTCGTCCCAGGAGGTGACCCACATGGCACAGCAGACCTCTTCTGTCTCGTCTGCTGCTTCCCTCAGCAGTGTACTTGATAGATCTGCCTGTTCTGCTCCCCACTGTCTGTGGTGAAGCCTCTCACCACCCCTGTAGCTCTGGCTTGTAACCCAGTTCTGTATGAATAAATAAATAAATCTTTTAAGAAATTTAAATTTCTGGATGATAAAAGACCACGAAACAGTTTGCAGTTTCAGTAGCACTGGAATAAAATGACAAAGTTAATTCTTAGTATGTAAAGAATTCTTACAATTAAAACAAAAATTTCCCAATAGTCCTGTCTAACTGAGCAAACAAAATATTTAGATTTCAATCTCACTCATAGTTAAGAGAAATACAAACTAAAATTAGAGCAAAATACCATTTTCTAAAAAAAATTCAGATAGTTAAAGATGAAAATGGTTTATGCCACATTGTGCCAGGGAAGGCATGGGAAAAGAGAAGCTCTCATCCACCCCTGGAGGAGTTCCCTTTGTGGGAGGCAGTTTGGCAAATTCAATGCTTTAGAAGTTCCCTCTCCTCACTCACTGATGAAGAACTTTTTCCACCACACATTTCTGCTCCACTTATATTTAAATGCAGAAAACATTGATGCACCCATTCTATTTTTGGGACTTCACCTTATACCTATAATCACATGTGAACACGTAGACATAAAAGCAAGCAAACTCAGCAGCCTTGTTCATAATTGCAAACATCTGGAGAGAACCCCAATTAGGAGAACCCTAGTGAAATAAATTATGGTACCTAAGGATTCTCTACATGGGTATATTATGTGGCTGTTAAAAAGAATGAAGCAGCACTATATGTAATGGTCTCCAAGACCATTGTATCATAGTGTATGATACAGGCAAAACTGTCCAACTCTGTAAACCCACTACCATTGGTGTAAAGTGGAGATTGTAAGCACATTTGCTTATCTCTGCACAGACCACCTCTGGAAGGATGTGAAGAACCCAATTATTTGGGGGAGAGTAAGTAAGGTAAGGGGAGGGAAGGAGACTCACTTTTAATGTTTTTTTTTTTAACCTATGTGATGTGAATACACTAGCTATTCTAAATAATAATTAAAAATTAAATGATTAGGGCCCTTCCTGGAGGTGCAATAGGTTAGGACGCAGCACTGCAAGCTGACTGTAGCCGCTTCAGTGCAAGTTCGATCCCCAGCCCCGGAGGTGACCCACATGGCGCGGCAGTCCCCTCCTGACCCGCCCGCTGCTCCCCTCAGCAGTGTACTTCCTCGATCTGCCTGTTCTTTTCCCCGCTCTGTCTCTGGTGCATCCTCTCACCGCCCCTGCACCTCTGGCTTGTACCCCAGCTCTGTATAAATAAATAAATAAACAAATCTTTTAAAAAATTAAATGGTTGAGTCTTAGATACAAACTAATACAAACTGTATTTCTAGGGGACAAAGAAGACAATTGGAGAGAGCCTTTTGGGAGAGGGAAGGTTCTTTTCCGCGTCCAGCACCCACATTTGGACACATAGCAGGTCTAACCGTTGTTGAACAAATAACTGGCACCCATAAAAGTGTGCTTCTGTTTTCTCATCTCAGCCCCCAAGCTAATTTCTCTTGATCAGTTGTCCTAAAGACTTTCAGAAGGACTCTTGCTGGGTGACCCTCCCCGGAGCCACGGACGGAGGGGCATACCGGACAGGCACGAACACGGCGGACTCTGGGTCCTTCTTGGTGTCCTTGTGGGAGACCACGCGGCCGGGCAAGTTGAGGCCAATGTGGTAGTGGACCTGGATGAGTAGTGCCAGGAGCAGCTGGGGGTAGATGCGCCTCACCCGGCCCACGCAGCTGTTGACAGACAGGAGCTCACATAGGCCACTGGCCGCCTGGGGACAGAGGGGAGGCTGGTGGGTGTCCAGGCCATCGCCCCAGCACACCTGGCAGGGACCTGGGCTGCTTTCAGGAGGTTGGGCCTGATCTTTGCTCTTCTTGGACCAGGCCTGGAAAGCGTATAGTGCCCTCTGCCCCACCTTACTCACCAGCCCTGCTCTTCTGCCTGGTGAGCCCTGGCCCCAAACAATACAGTATTGTGCCGCTCTGGCTTTGACACAACCCTGGAAGTCATGGTAGAGGGATCCCTTCCCAAGTCTTGGGAGATAAGCAGTCATGATTTTATTGTGAAGGACAGCACAGAGAGGCAAGCAACTTGCCCAAGGTCATCCTGTGCCTTTGGCATGCAGTTAGGACCTGAACCAGGTTTTCAGAGATGACTGTTGTCTGCCCTGCTTCTTCCTGTTCATAAGACAATCACAGTCTTGAGGGTCACCAGTTGCCTCTTCACTTTGAGCCATTAAACAAGGCTGTCCTCACTGTTACCCCACATGGCCACCAGCCCAGAGAAATGGCCACCAACCCAGAGAAACCGCCCCCAGCCTCAGCAGGTGCCAGGGACCCATACTGCTGGGTCCTAGACTGTATCACTCCAAACCCACCCACCCTATACCCCTGCCCCTTCCAAACCATCCCTTTGATGTTCTGGGAACTTGAAGACAGACTTCACTTTGTGGGTGTCTGGCCCATGGTGTTCTCTGGGACCCTCCAACTTCTCCACCTGCCAGTCCAGCTCTGTTCCTGGCCCAGGCCATTCCTCACATCAGCTACCTCACCAAGGCCCCTCTAACTAGCAGGAGGACAACATGGGGGCTTAGGGGCACGAGGTGGTAATGGGATTGGGCGTGGGTCACAAGACCAGATGGCTCATTGTAGCCCCACAACTCCTGGCCTCTCTTTGGAACCCAGATTCATCTTCCATCAAGTGTGGTTACTGATTCTTTTCCAGGCAGCTCCAGGCAATTGAATGGGAGAAGAGGCAGGAGTGTTTTATAAAGAAATGGTCAAATCTTTGTCACCAAGACCCCATGCAGTTGACCCGAGACAAGCATTTAATTGTGGGCTGAGGGCCCTCTGGGAGCCTAGGGGTTAAGTCTCAGGCTGTCACTGCTACAGCCTACATTCTGCATTCAATCCCCAGCCAGGGAGCTGACCCACATGGCACAGCAGACCTCTCCTTTCACCCACACTCCCCTCAGCAGTGTATTTCAGTAGATCTGTCTGTTTTGTTCCCCTCTTTCTCTGGTGAATCCTCTCACCCTCTGCATCTCTGGTCTATACTCCAGTTCTTATATACAATAAATAAATAAAAACTGTGAAGTAAAGGAAGCCAAGCCATGGCATGTTCCTGGGGAAAGAGTGATACAATGTGGCTGGAGAACAGTAAACGGCCATTATTTGTATTTTGTAGTTTAAACTACAAATGTTCGCGAACACTCTCTCGCTTGTTCTACACAGATCTATTTTACAGATCAAAGTACCAAGGCTACAGAGGGGATATGATTGGCCAAGGTGAATAGTGGGGTGGGGACAGAGCTAAGAGCCTCTTGGACACAAAGTCTGCATTTTTTCAGTAGCCCAAAGCTATGCTTGTGTCCGAGAACACAGGCTGCCATGTAGTCTCTAGTGACATGCCACAAGGCCCTGCTGTTGACTCAACATTGCTCAAATGGCTTAGCAAAACCATAACATACAAATTAGTCTAGACCGTGGACATGCTTAGACTGTGTGCTGAACGAGAAGCACAAATGAGTGAAGAGAACACACTCACACAGGCTGGCTGAAGGACGAGCAGATGGTTGCTCAAGACAGGGGAGGAAGAGGTGCTGCTGTGGTACTCATGGAACTCCATGCTCAGGCACAGGCAGAGAGATCTGGTCTAGGGTGTGGGGTGGAAGACCTGGGTCTGACAGTCCCTCGACAGCTGTGCAATGTCAGATGAGACATGGCCTTTCTATTCCTTAACTCCCAGATCTTTGCTTCCCTCATCAGAATGTCTCGCTCTCTGCTTAATATCTATGAGTATGTCTGGTACACAGAAGGTGCTCGATAAGTAATTGCTGAATAAATTATCAGTCCAGCAAAAATATGTAAAGTGTCTGCAAGGTACCAGGTATATGTTAGACACTGGAAATATCAAGGTGAACAAAACAGAGTCAGGCACTGAATTCATGCATCTCACAGATTGATCAAATGACTGTCAAATCACAATAGGGATACACTCTTCTCAGATAAAGCATGTAATGTGAAGTTGAATACAAACTGATTTGATCTGGGCAGGAAGATCAAGGAGGGGTCCATGAGGAGGTGCTTGAGAACAAAAAGATAAGTAGATGTGATTTGGCATGAAATAGCCTAGAGGAGGAAACAGCACATGCAAATGCCCTGTGGTGAAAACAGTATGGCATCTTGACAAAGACCAGAGAGGCTGGAGCTGAGCAAGCAAGAAGGCCATGAAGCACAGTGAGCCTGATGAGAGAAGCAGAGCCCCGCAGCACAGAAAGGAGTACTGTGTCCCTCTGGAGGGCAACGGTAAGTGAGGGGTTTGAGGAGAGCAGGTGTGCTATTTTCTTTCTTTTTTAAGATTTATTTATGCACACAGAACTGGGGTACAGGCCAGAGGTGTGGGGGGTGAGAAGATTCACCAGAGACAGAGTGGGGAGCAGAACAGGCAGACTGATGAAGTACACTGCTGAGGGGAGCAGCAGGTGGGTCAGGAGAGGTCTGCCACACCATGTGGTCACCTCCAGGCCGGGCTCTAACATGCACTGAAGTGTCTGTGGCTGGCTTGCAGTGCTGCGTCCTAACCCGTTGTGTCAAAAGGGAGGGCCCAGATGTGCTATTTTCAAAGATTTTTTGGCTGTAGTACAGGTTGGAAGGGCAGGAGCAGAAGCAGGGAGGTGAACAGGGATATTATCCAGTTGACTTGGACCAGGCAGGCAGTAATAGCGAGAGAGAAAAAATCCTTCTCTCCAGCCCAGACAGAGCTGGCCGCCTTTCCCAGGGCTGAGCTCTGAGTTTGGCAGCAAAAAGCACTTCAATATTTTTGTGTTACCTAATGCATGACTCAGTTACCTCTTTTAACCTTCACAACTGCCATACAAGACAGACAGTGTCATTTCCATTTATAGATACAGAGGCTCAGAGAGGTGAAGTGACTTGCCCTGATCACAAAATAGCAACACAGCAAAGCCAGTTCTGACTGAGGTCTGAGTCCCGGGTCTTTCTGTTTCACCATCCCTGGCTGTCACCCCAAGCAGCGATCCTGTTACATCCAGGGAGCCACAAACAAGAGCCCAAACCCAAGGCCACATTACTAGCTCCTGATGGGGGGAAGAGTGGGGCAGGGCCCTAGAAGCTGGATGCCCTGAGCTCAGATGCCGGGGCTGAGGGCAGGAGGGGGTGGTGCTCACTGCGAGGGGCACAATGGAAGCCCGGCCCTTCTTGGTGACAGGTTTCTCCTTCAGGCTGGTCAGCAGCAGATCCAGGAGGTCTCGGATGTCACAGCTGGGCTTGCGCAGTATCAGCTGCCTCCACATCTCTGCTCCATTGCTGGGAAGCCAGTCGTGGTGGGTGGTTAATAGAGACGGGGGGGGGGGGGGGGGTCCATCACACCACCCACGATTTGGGGAGGGAAAAGGATATCCATGGGCAGGTGAGCAAGAAATGGCCCAGACACATTCCCCGGAGGCAGGGAGCTGACAATTGCCGAAAGTCCTATTTCCCAAGTACCACGCCAGGTGCTTTATATACAGCTTGCTACTTCAGAAGTGGCTGCGCAGCTGTCATATGCCAGACACAAGCCAAATCCCTGGAACACGGGTTTGGACCTTAAAGATTACTGACTTCTGATAAAGACCCTCTGGGTAGGTGGTCAGTCCCATTCTACAGACGTGGAGGTGAGCGGTGTGATCCCCAGTTCAGGACACGCAGTTTATGAGCTGCAGGATCAAGTGACCAGATCTGAAGTCTCCATAGCCCACTGTGCTCTTGCCTCTCTGCCAAGGAGCCCTGTATGATCTTGCACTTGGCACAAGGGATCAAAGAGCACCCACTGCTGTCCCTTGGAAGGCAGGAAAGCACCCGCACCAGCAGGCAGCAGCCTCCGATAGTGGGAAACATAAGTGCCAGCCGGGCAGTGTGCTAAAGAGTTAATGAAACCCTTTTCCCCTTCTGCGAGAGCATCTGAACCTTCCATTAACTTTCTAGCTCTGTTCCCCTGGAAACCTGATAAAGATAGTATGTCAACTATGTTGCTAGGCAACATTGCTTATGGTAAAAATGACCAGATTGGTAAATTGCATCTGGACTGTGAGGAACTATACATTAACTATAAAAACTGATGGTGACGCTGTAGCGTCGAGCTTCTCGGGCTGCAGTGACTCGTGACTGGGCTTGTGTCTGTGGGAACCTTGAAAGCAAAGTCTGAAGACTCCTAGGAGTTACGAGTTCCTGGAAGGCCTGGGCCAGTTAAGCAGAGCAACTCCTGCACCACCCTGGGGCTTTCGGTCCCTCCCACCTGAGTTTTTGCCTGGAGGCCCAAGGGGACCTTGGACCCAGAGTCCGGACTAGGGTGAGGAAAGTGAGGTATCCAGGGCACAAAACTTAAGGGGACCCTCACTCTAAAGCTCATGGACGTGCAGGCAGGGCTACTGGGAACAAGGGCTTCCCTAAATTGTGTCCCAGTTCTATCTGGCCTGCAGCTGGGCTGCTGCAAAGATTCCTGCAGATAGGAGCCCTATGAACAGCGCAGCCAGAATGGGCCAGATTCTCCCAGGTGGGAGGACAGCTGTACCCCCTGGGCTCACCACCCCCACTGCTCCCCATGTCTGTGAGCGGCACCCACTGTCCTGAGCAGCACAGCTCTTCCTTACGTTCACTCTCAAGCACCCATCTTAAGACGTGGATTGCACCTTGCTGCCTTGTCTTATTCTTCCAAGGGTTGGGACTATTTCCTGGGCAAGGAGTGGAGCAGTCAGACTGGCCTGCCCCGGCCATGGACTGTGCTCCCCGTGCCCACGAGGCCTCTCCCCGAGGACTGGGAGCTCAGAGCCCTGAGCAGGTGCAGCCCAGCAGGCAAGCATTCAGCTGGCTGAAGCTGTCACAAGTACTCATCCGGGATGGAAATGCAGGCCTTATTTTCTCCTTTTGCCCATGGGGGAAGCTCAGAGAAGGCAGGGGGCAATCTAAGATCACACAGCAAGTGGAGGCAGAGTCAGGAACCACACTCGGGCCCCTTTCTGTGGCATCATTAAAGAGCTTGTCATTAAAGACTCGCAGGGGGTCACCTCTGTGTTTAGATCTTGTTATGTTGCTTGTTCACTAGGTACCTAGAGCAAGAAAATTTTGCTGAGCCTCAGTTTCCTCATCTGTAGAATGGGCTTGTGTTATGAGCCTATGCATGAATGCTCAGCGTTGATAAGTTGCAGGGCTCATGGAGTGCCTAATAATTGCACCACAGGTCACAGAAGAGGGACCGTCAGAGAGGACAAAGGACTCCTCTGGGGAGGAGGGGTCCCCAGCCTGGGATAGGAGCTGCTTCCACAAGCTGGAGCGGCTGGAACCCCCCTCACGTGGTACCTGTCCAGAGGGAGGGGGCACATGAGCAGGGCCACGACGACCTCAGTCATAAAGGAGCTGGCCAGGAGAGAGACGGGCAGCAGGGCCACCTCACGGGCCCGCGGCTCCTGGATGTAGTTCAGCTGCATGTGGATGCTCTGCATGATTTCGGGGATCTGGGCGCGGGGCGGCAGTCATGGTAAGGCACGGGTACGAGGCAGCCACCAACAGAGGACAGGAAGAGGAAGGAGGGGGTGACAGGACAGGGGCAGGAAGAGGCACAAGAGAGAAATAGGGTGAGAGAAGCAGGCAGAGCCCCTGCCCCTTCTCTGGGCCGGGGGGGTGGGGGTCAGCCAGTTTGTCTTTTCTTCCCACTGTCCCCACGCCCATGGTTGAAGTGTTCTCAGGGGCTAGTACGTGAAACCTTTCTCACCTGCCAAGTTGGGAGCACTTGGTGTGCTCCCACCACCCCCACATGCCCTGGTGCCAGGGACCCCAACAGCCCTCATTTCACCCAGTGCCAGGCAGCCAGTCCCTAGGAGTGTGCAGACCCTGTGCGGTTTCCCACCCCAGCTTCTGCCCCCAGAGGACCTTACCACCTCCACTGCCCTGTGGCGGTACCACTCCAGCACCGAGCTGAGCGTGACCTCCGAGGCCAGCTGCATCATCTCCCCCGAGTCCTTCCCTCGAGCCTCTGAGCCACCTTTCAGCCCTTCCAGGGCTGCTAGCAGCAGGTCCTTTACCTGCTGGGGCCCCAGGAAGTCTCCGAATTCCTGAAACAAGGTTCAGAGACACTGACGCAACAGACTGGAAGGAGCTGTACAGGTACACAGACACCAGCAGCAGCACTGAGGTCGTCAGGGTAGACCACGCGCACCATGACGGGTGAACCCTTGGGGTTCAAGGAAAGGGCAGTGTGGTCCCTGTCTGCAGAATGGGGTGACGTGCTTGCACGAAAGGAAGTCAGTGGGGGTGGGCACCCTGCCCTCACCTCCCCTCCCAGGAAGATAATAAGCTGCAAGTGGTCACTGCAATCACCCCCCCTCCCAGGAAAACCCAGAGATAATAAGCTGTTAGTGGTCACCGCGATCACACGTAGAATGTTCTGGCAAGGGTTGATGGGATTGTAGGGTCCCAGGAAGCGTTTGTTGCTCTCATACAGCTCCTTCTTGTTGGTCTCTTCCTTATCTCTGACTCCTGCAAGGAGAAGACCTTCTCAGGGAAGTCTGATCTTTTTGTTAAACATCGATGCAGGCTGTACAGAAATCAGAGCTAGTTTGATAAATTTTCACATGGTGAGGGAAAAGTTTCCACGCAGTTAAGTGTATGGGTAAAACCAGTCCCAGGTCAGAAACAGAATACGATCAGCACCAGGAAACCGCTTTGTGCCCACTCTCAGTCCTCTGTCCCCACTGCCCACCCAGGGTAACATCGGACTTCTACATGCTCAGCCTAGATTTCCTTGTGGTGGCCTCGGCGTAAGTGGACTTGTGGCAGGCAATCCTTTCAGTCTGGCTCTCACTCAACAACGTGGGGGTAAAATACCTCCACACTTTCGCAAGTCTCATTGGTTCATCATTCTCAGCACTACAATTTTCATTAAATAAACATATTACAGTCTCCTTTTGATGTTCTCCTTTTGATGAGTCTATATCCCAAGTGCCCAGAATAGTACCTGGCACATGGTGCCCCCAGATTTTCTGTTGCAGGGAACACCCTGCAGACCCACTTCCTGAGACCTTGTAGTAGCTGGCTGGGTCCTAACTGGATCCCCCAGTGTCTGCAGGGTACAGGGGCAGAGGGACCATAGGGAACACATTTGGGGATCGTTTGTAAAGGGAAGATGATGAAGACCTGGGATCTGGCGATTCCAAGTTCAAATTTTAGCTTTGTTGCTTCCTCGAGTTGAGGGACCTAGACAGCCACTTATTCCTCAAGAACCTAGTAAAGCGAGTTTAGCCTAGAGTAGCCAAAAAAAATAAATAAATACCGGCTATGCAAATCTGAATTTCCTATGAAACAATTTTAGTGAGAGTATGTCTCAAGTATATGAAAGTCGTCAACCATTTATCTAAACTTGAATTTAACTGGGTAGCCCATATTTTTGTTTGTTAAACCTGACAGTACTGATTTGTTTATTCCTGCCCCTAAAGCTGATTATTAATATGATTTATACCACCTTCACCCAGCAATCAGGACATCTAAGGGGTTCCAAGCATCAGGGGAAAACTAAGTTTCAATATTTACCCCAATTGCTAGAGCTGGAGTCTAGCAGGTATATTTATTTAACAGATTGAAAAAGACCTAGTGCCAGCTGGGTCAGACTACGCCATCACCAGCTGCCAGAAGCTGAATCCAGAGATTTTTCTCCCAACTACACACTTGAACCACTTCATACTCAAGCATTCTTTGTTCATTCATTCAGTAACTATTCATTGAGCACCCACCCCATGCCAGGCTGAGGACAGACACTGGGGAAACATTGGTGAACAAGACATAGCCTTGCTCTGTCCTCAAATGGGGTTATAGCCTAGTGAGGAAGACAAACCAGAAAACAGAGTTATCACACCTGGGTATACATGACGGCATGGGAATGTGAAAACGAGAGTGGCAAACTACACTCGGAAGGATAAGGAGAGGCTTAGATTGAAGGATTGCTTAAATCAAAGCAGATTAGTTTATAATCTCTGTTCCTGGTTCTGCGAAAACTAAGTTTTTACACCAATTACCACAGGCCCCACCAGACACTGTACTGGGCTCTTCCATCTCCAGTGAATGCTTATTGACAGGCTCTAGTCACTTCCCAGACTGAGCAGCTGCTCAGAAGCCTTCCTCTAGAGGTACTCCAAAGGGCTTACGTTTTTGGAGCTCTAGGATGGTATAGAGGATGATGATGCCATCCAGAGCCTCCCGGCCAATCTCCTCATCAGGATCTCCAACACGAAGGATGAGCCTCCCCAGGAGAAGTCCCAGTGTCGGGAACCCAGAGGACATCTGTTGGTGTTGCAATCTTAGGGACTAAATCCAATAGGTTGAATAATGCTATATAAGTAAACAGTGAAGACAGCTGGTTTGCTGGCCCTGCTAACAGAGTCCTCTGGTGATAGCAAGGACCAGCTTGGAATCTCTGGACAGATACAGAGGCTCCCTCAGCATTGGGAAGATTCTCCCTAGAGGTGTCCACCCTTCCCAGGGAAAACTCACAAAAAAAGGCAGGGTGAGAAGGGTGTGGTTCAACACAGAGACATTGCTGTTCACAGCTCGTCTGCGCTCATGGGCCTTCCCAGAGTTCATCCAGGGCCCCAGGGGCTGTGAGGACAAGGGAAAGACCCAGCATGGATGCCAGCCCCTTCTGCCTGCATGGACAGGTCAATCTTCCCAACCAGCAGGAAGTTTCCAGGGAGGACATAAAGGCAACTTGCTATATCCTCTCTCTTCTTGGAGCTTGGGGAGACATGGGATCCAGAAGCTGAGAACAGGACTGAAAGACCACAGGGAAAATAAAAGTCAAGGAAGAGAGGTGACGGGTGGAGAATCGTGTAGAAAGGAGTGAGAGTTATGAACGAGAATGGAGAAAGCAAAGAAAGGAGGGCAGCCAAAGAAACCAAAGAAAGAAGTAGGGGGAAGGAGGGAGCAGAGGCGGTAGTGTGAGCCAGGACCTATAGGGGGCAGGAGCGAGCACAGCACAAGGTGAAGTCCTCAAGTCAAATCACTCTTTCAAGTACCCCTTTCCCACTGCTCCTCGGCCAGCTCCCCTCCCCTCCACCCTTCTCTCTCCCTGCCCCTTGTACCTCCAAGATGCTCTTCAACCCAGCAGGAGTGGGGTCCTCAACAAAGAGGGCGTTGAGCAACGTGTGCAAGGCTCCCAGCGTCTGACAGTAGAGTGTCTGTGAGGGAGAAGAGGAGCCAGGCCACTGGGGCCTGTGTAGCAGACCACAGCTGCAGGGCTCCCAGGTGTGGGTCAGGGGCTAAGCGGGCAGTGGGCTTCCGGAGAGCTGCTCTTTGGCCCCACCTCTCAGACTAACTAGGTGCGTGACCTTGGACAAATCACTTCCCTTCCACGGATTTGTTTCCTCACCCAAACACTGGGAGGAAGCAGAGACCCGGCATTTGCTGAGTCACTGCCAGAGGCCACAGGTGCCTGGTGACTTGCATAACCACCTCACTTTACCCTCAAAGTATTTTTCTCATTTCACAAATAAGGAGATACAAGGAAGTTTCAAGTTGTGAGCAAGAAATGAGAGGATACGTAGGAGAATGCTCTAGAACTGTACAGCCAGGTAACTGTCATTATTGTCTCTGATTCCTTTTACTTGCCACTCCTAGAAGCAAATAGATTTTCCACGTTGCCCCTTCCAGGGGCATCTCTTCCCTGCCCAGGTTCGTCTTGCCTTGACTACACTACAGACCTGAGTTGTCTTTCATATCTACACACAATCATGAGCTGTGGGTTTGAGCCATTCTCCCTGATTCCCCTCCTCCTAACAGCAACCCCCTTCTGCCTCCCAGCTAGTCATTGTCCAGGCTTCCTGACTCTGTGTACACTAATGTTATTCCACAACCACCAAGCAAACCTCTCTCATCAACTGTCTCCTCCTTCCAGTCCTCTGCAGCCCATCGCTGTATGGCACTGCCCTCTACTGGCTGGGTCTGGCACTACAAGAGGATTAAAGGCTTTTTTTTTTTTTTTTTTTTTTCCACCTGCCAAAAACTTCCCACTTATCCTCTGGGGCTTCTTTTCCACCTCAGGAAAGCAGAACCCTCATGCTGCCAGTATGGTCTAGCCTTAGGACTCTCGAATCTTGCTTCCCAGGTCTCTTCACTCACCCACCCTCTTGGACCCAGCCACACAGGCTCCTTGTCATGCTTTCAGTCATTAAAGATCACCCATGATACTGGCCGGTCCTTCCGCCTGGCATGCTCTTCCTTCTACCATCCCCTTCAGCAAACGAGCTCTTCTTTAACCCCTCAGCTCCAGCACCACACCCCCTCACCCCATCTTTCAAGATACCCCAGTCCAAGTTCTCTAAAGCAACAAGGAATTCTTGCTTGCAACATTTACCACCATTGTAACTTTGCATTATTTGTGTGACTCTTTAACAATGTCCATCTCCACCTGACCCCATTGTATCTTTCCCCTGTACTGCACATCAGTTAGCTGAAAACCCTCATCTGAACCGGCCCCCGCCAACCCTGCCTCCCAGCCAAACGGTCGCCTATCAGCTCTCCTGGGACAACCTCGCAGAGGTTTGAAGATATCCACAGAAACCCCTTATGATTCAGCTTTTCCAGACTTCAGCCTCAGCTCACCCATTTTTCTTCATCAGAGTCTAGTTCTCGACATCTAATCCTGGCCGTTCTCCTTTTGTCCACATCCTGCTCATACGGCAGGTCCTGGGGGTGGACAGAGCTGGCCAGATGACAGACCCTTTGTTCAAAAACTTCATTCATTCACCAACTATTGAATGCCTACTGGGGTCAAGGGAGGGGCAGTGGGTTGCCCAAGGCCACGCAGCTGAAGTAGGACAGAGGGGATCCCATATCTGACCCCCTCCCAAACAACCTTTCTGCTTCCGGCTGGGAATCCAGAAATCCGCCTCTCTCTCTGAGGACACTGAGCACCTTAAGGACCCTCCGGGAAGGATGCTGCCTCACCTGAATGGCCTCAGCCTTGTCCATGTCTCGCTCCTGCATGGCCTGCACAGAGGGCAGGGAGAACACACTCCTCACACACGTGTTCACCAGCTCTGACCGTTCCCGCACACCCAGGGCAGGCTGCGCGTGGCTGAGGGAGAGACAGGAAGCAAAGGCATGGAATGAGGGCTCCTGGGGCCAGAGCAGGGAGTTAAGGATGCAGGGCAGAGGGTGAGAGTCCTAAGTGGGGCTATTGTGAGGGTCAGATCCACAAAAGGGTAAGATAAGGTGAAGAGGAGGAGGGAGTGGGTATGGAGGGTGGGCAGCCCTGGAGGGACTGGGCAAGGGGAGTGGAGAAGGCACGGGGGTAGGTGGGGGAACAGCCGAGAGGCTCCAGAAGACTGGCAGAGGGCCAGGGACAGGGAGGTGGGGTCAGGGAGGGGCCGCGGACACCTCAGCTCAGTCAGGGTCTCCATGGCCTGCTGACGCGTGGAGCTCGAGAGGGAATCCAGTGGCTCCTCCTGGATCTGCCTCTGGTCAGGGGACCACAAAGGGACCCAGTGAGGAGCGGACAGGCCACTAAAGACCCCAGGACCCTGGCCACACCTCCTCACCGGAAGCAGGTGACACCGCCCCTCCACCTCCTCACAGCTGCCCTGCGGCCCCACGCCCCCCTGGCTCACCGCTCAACCCCATCCCAAGCCCCCGTTTCAAGGCCACCAATAACACCCCACACGCTAGCGGGCTGCACCCCACACATCGGGCTCCGTAAGTATTGTTTCAGGGGCCTCCCTAGTGGTGCAGCATTGTGAATTGGCAGCCACTACAGCATAGTTTGATCCTGGCCATGCGCAGCTGGCCTGTCCCTGTTTTCCCGCTGCTCCCCTCAGCAGTGTATTTCAGTCAATCTGCTTGTTCTGTGGCCCCACTATCTCTGGGGAATCCTCTTACCCCCTTCCCCAACCGCCCCCCCCCACCTCTCTGGGCTACATCCCAGCTTCTTGTGTATATAAATAAATAAAATAAATCCTTTTTTAAAGAATTGCTTTAGCATGGTAGGAAGGTATATTTAAACCATGGTGTGGTTGCTAACAGGGGTCTTGTTGAACTCCTTTTAAAATGTTCTTCTAACTTACATAGTGTTGTAATGCAATGTTACTGTTAGAAAAAAAAGGAATTGGAAATAATTAGGGGAAAATGTCCTAATTACTTCCCACCTTTGATATAGCACCTACACATAATAGGTATTCATTAATATTTGTTAAGTGAAGGTATCAAGGGAAAGGATGTGTTTCTCCCTTTAAGGGATCTAAAGCTAAATATGATTTTGCAAAATGTTGGTGCTATCTCTGCCCACCCCATTCTGGTGGATAACTGAAACAGGTCGTATCTATCAAACAGATAAGGAAACTCTAGGGACCGCCACACCAGGAGGATTTTCTGGGGAGAGAATGTGGTAATTACAATAACCACCCCCAGGTGTGTGAGGTGCGCCAGTGAACTAACCAGGGAACACAGGTGCAGGCACGGCCGTTAGGGAGATGAGAAGAATGGAGCTCGGAGAAGGCAGGTGGCCTGCCCCAGCTCTCACACTCGCAGGGTGGTGGAGGACGTGAGCAGGGAGACTGAGACTCAAATCCTGCCTCCTCATCCAGTCCTCTTCCTACCTCAAACCCAGGGTTCCCAGTCTCATCCGTGGGTGGGTAGACTCAGGGCTCCCACCCCCGCCCACAGCCAGTCTGTGGCTCCCGCACCATCATATTCTTGATCATGGTCTTCTTTCCTTCCACATCCAGCAATTCCTGATTCTTCTGGAGGGTGACAGTATCCTCAACCTTGGGGAAACAGTGGGCAGAAGCACAGAGTGACAGCCACAGAAATCCAGCTCTCAAGGGCCGCCTGTTCATCCCACTAAGCTACCTTTCACCTGCAGGCAAGCCAGCCTGCTCCGCCCAGCCCCCAGACCCAACTCCCAGGATGGCTCCAGAGAAATGAGAGCCTAGAGGGGATCTTAGGGGTTGGGGTGAGGATTTGAGATCGTGGTTGTCTAGGGTGTTGGAGAGGGAGAGAGTCTCTGAGGCCAGGATTTAGAGGAAAACCAGACACCAAGGACAGCAAAGCACTCCCCTCTCTGTTCAGCTAAGGGAGCAGCACAGGCAAAAGCGATGAGACAGAAAGGGGCCCAACCCCTCAAGCTGAAATCTCATCCTTAGTAATACATCTTCAGGTCCTCTAGAATCAGCCCTGCTGGGGCCTCCCTGATGGCACAACGAGTTAGGACACAGCACTGCAAGCTCCCCACCCTGGAGCAGTCCTCCAGTCCCCCCACTCACCCCCCCCCAACCCCCCAGTGACCTCAGTCCACATCAGGCAGAAGAAATACTGCCATGGAGCTGGGTCAAATTTCAGAATCATGAAAAACTGGGCTGCCCAGTTTGGGGTGGTTTGTTCAGCAACTGATAACAAATTGCAAACTGATGGCAGAACAATTGTTCATTTAGGTCAGGGAAGGCCCATTTGCAGAACTGAGTTCTGAATGACAAGAAAAAGGCATCCAGGTGGAGACCTAGGCGTAAGGCCTGCCTGTCTCCCCAGACTGGAATGCTGGTTCACCGCTGTATCTCTTTTCTCTCAAACAGAGCCTAGCACACAGTAGGGGCACAATCAAATTTGTTGCATGATTGTGGTAGAAACTCCTTTTTGTGAAGGTATCATGCACGGAGTTATACATACATTACCTAACCCAGACCTCACTTCAAGTTTATTACACCTGTCTCACAGAAGAGAAGAACATTCCAGCAGAAAAAAACAACAAGTGCAAAGGTCCTGGGGTAGGGATGTGTTGCGAACAGAAAATGGCCAATACGGCAAGATCAAGGCAGGCAACTAGGCAAATGCCATAAGATGAGGAGGGAGAGAGGCTCCCCAAATTCAGGGAGGGCCTGCGCTTAATCCTGTCACCCTCCCCTACCCTGTACTCTCGCCAGGGGCCAGAGCTTACCTCTGAAAAGCCACAGGACCTGGCCTTCCTTCTGGTCCTCACCCCGGGTAGACCCTCTGCCACCTGACTGTCTTCCAACTGGCCTCTCCCACACTCTCAGGGTCTCATCATGTCCACTAGCTTGTCCAGCCTGCCCCCACTGGCCTATCACCAAGCAGACACCTCATTTCATCTGCTACACTGGTTTTCTGTCATCTCCCAAACAAGGTCTGTTGAGGTGGCCACAAGGGTCAGGCCTGTGTGCTAAAAAAGCCCATTTCCATCCTTGCTGCCCCCCTTCGACTTTCTCACAATAATTCAGTTGTTTTAAAAATTTGTATTGAACTCCTATGATGTGCCAAGCAATGTTTTAGAAGGTGGGGATAAAACTGTGAATAAGACAGACAAAACTGGGTGATGCAATGGGTTAAGACAGACAAAACTATGAAGGTGTTCGCAGCCACTACAGCATGAGTTCGATCTTGGCCAAGGGGGTGACCCACATGGCACAGACGACCTCTCCTCACCCACCTGCTGCTCCCCTCAGTAGTGTACTTCGGTACATCTGTCTATTCCAATCCTCACTGTCTCTAAGGAATATACTCTCACCCCCCCACACCTCTGGCTTGTACCCCAATTCTTTCCCCCCCAAAAAAAAACCCTGATTCAGGAGGGGTATAGTCTAGTAGAATAGACTAACAAGAAGTAAAATGAACTAGTAAGGCGCATTGTGTATTCAGTAGTGGTGAGAAAGGAACAGGGAGTGTTGGAGCTCAGGACTGTGGATGCAGGGGTGGGAAATGGGAGTGGAATTCCAGGAAAAACTGGGGACTGGGCAGAAAGCATACCAGAGCCATTTTGTTGCCATCCTCACTGTTCCCTGGCACCTGCACCAGGCACGTGGCTACTTCTTTGAAAACCCCTGCATGCCAGTTTCAAGGAGGAGAGAAGGAGAGTTAGGAGATAGCGTACCCAGGGCACCACAGTCCGGGTTCCCTCTCCCATCGGGGGTGGGGGCTCCTGTTCTTACTCCACAGCAGCCAGACTGAGTTCCTCCCTCAGTCCTCGGGGGCACCCATTTCACTGAGCCTAAACTAGCGTCTTTGTCAGGACCTGCGAGACCCCGCCAGGGCAGCCCCCCCTGCCACTTGCCAGTCTTATTTCCCACAGCTTCCCCCTCCACCACCCCTCTGCCCACAACGCCCCTTCCAGGCCCAGGCAAGCTCCCCTTTCAGGTCTTTGCACAGGTGGTTTCTTCTGCTGCCACACCTCCTTGCCAGCAGAAAAGAGGGCGCCTCTCCTTCAGGTCTCGGTTCTTACCAGCCAGCCCTCCCGACCTCAGGCTAAGGGAGGGCCTGCCATGATCTTCCCACACATCCCCCCACTCTCTTCCTCAGTCACTTAATCATCAAGCACATTTGCTGTTTGGTATCTGCTGCCTTGTCAGCCTCAGGTGCCATCATCTCTGCCCTGTCTTCCTGTGGCCTACCCAGTCAGGTGGCTGAGGGGAGGTTGTATTGTATCAAGAGTATGGAACTCCTATTGAACAAGCCCCCACCTTCCTTCCAACAGGCCCAACTTGGCCAATAAGGGAATCCTTTGTCCTCAGCTATTGTGACTAGTCAGGGTGGACACTCGGCTGAGCAGGGTCAATACAACCCTTCCTTTAATGGGACTGAGGGGCCCTCCCTGGTGGTGCAGCGAGTTGGGGCGCAGCACTGCAAGCTGGCTGCAGCCGCCTCAGTGCGAGTTCAATCCCCAGCTCCAGAGATGACCCACATGGCACAGCAGACCTCTCCTGACCTGCCCGCTGCTCCCCTCAGCAGTGTACTTCAGTACATCTGCCTGTTCTGCTCTCCACTCTGTCTCTGGTGAAGCCTCTCACCGCCCCTGCACCTCTAGCCTGTGCCCGAATAAATAAATATTTTAAAAAAGATTTATTTATTTATGCATACAGAACTGGGCCCGAATAAATAAATATTTTTAAAAAGATTTATTTATTTATGCATACAGAACTGGGGCACAGGCTAGAGGTGCAGGGGCGGTGAGAGGCTTCACCAGAGACAGAGTGGGGAGCAGAACAGGCAGATGGACGAAGTACACTGCTGAGGGGAGCAGTGGGCAGGTCAGGAGAGGTCTGCTGTGCCATGTGGGTCACCTCCAGGGGCGGGAGGGGATCGAACTCATGCTGAAGTGGCTTTTTAGCTTCTTAGTGCTGTGCTTTAACCCATTGTACTACCAGGGAGGGCCCCAAATAAAGAAATCTTAAAAAAAATAAAATAAAGAGGACGGAGGACAACAGGAAAGGCAGTATAGGTCTCTCTCCTTCTAAGGTCAGCATCACCAGGACCTATGAGAATTTGGAACTTCAGAACCACCTTGGCCAGCAGAGGCTGTGGATGATGAAGCAGAGACACTCCCTGCCCCCAAGTCATAACGCCTCATGCCAAGATCTTGATTTTTTTTTAGTACTAAACCTTTTTCTACTAAAAGGAACAGAGCTCCTTGGAGGAATGGCTGCTGCTAGGATTTGAACAGAGAAAGTACAAGATGGACCTGAGACATCTTGTTTTATCTAGAAAACAAGGGAGAGAGCTCAGAGAATGATGGGGATATGCCAAAGGAACTCAAAAGCTTGCTTGAAGGGGAATCAGGTCCAATCGAGCAGAATTGGAGGATCACAGTCAAAAATGGTGGCACCATAGTAAGTCCACTGAATCAATGAAGAACCCACAAGTTTGTGTCAACATCTATAAGTGGATAAATTGAAAGTTTGCTGAGGAATGGGATATTTACATAGCTTCAAAGTATCTCCCGACATAAAATTTATTGCAAAGGGGTAAATGTTGGTTGTGGTGCAGAACCTTGTCAGCAACCCGGTGTCAGATCACTTAGGGGAACGAAGTGAATTTCATCAGTAAGGAAACAAATCAAAGCCCCCAGACAGGCAGTGAGAAAACCCAGCAGCACCTCTGTGCTGTTGCTGCCAGAGGTGTGACATGCACCTGATGGTGAGGGAACCTGAGACAAGACCCACGGTAGGCACCTCCCCCAGGAGAGCTGCCCTGTCACCCTTGATGTACAGAAACATGAAATTCAAGGCAAAGCTGGGGTTGGAGGAAACACCACCCACCAAACAATGGGACAAAACAGTACAATGAGTGATTCTGAGTTGGATCTTTTTAATTTTAACTATATATTTTTTAAGGATTTTATTTGCTTATGCATAGAAATGGAGTACAGGCCAGAGGTACAGGGGCAGTGAGAGGACTCACCAGAGACAGTGGGGAGCAGAACAGGCAGATGCATACACTGCTGAGGGGAGCAGCGGGCAAGACAGGAGAGGTCTGCTGTGCCTTGTGGGTCACCTCCAGAGTGGAGATCGAACTCACACTGAGGGGGCCATGGCTTGGCTTAGCTTTGCAGGGCAGTGCCAACCCGCTACGCTGCCAGGAGGGCCCAGATATTTTTTTTCTATAAAGAATATTACAGGGATCATCGGACATTGACTGGAGTCTAAAGATTAAATGGCAGAAGTGTGTAATAACATTAATTTCCTATATGGATGGTTAACCTTTGCCTTTTTTGTAAGAAATAGGCACTAAAGGGCCCTCCTTGGTAGTGCAGTGGGTTAAAGCACAGCACTATGCAGTTATCCACAGCCACTGCAGCACGAGTTTGATCCCCCATCAGGGAGGTGACCCACATGGCACAGCAGACCGCTCCTTTTCTTGTCTGCCCTCTGCTCCCCTCAGCACTGTGTTTCAGTCTTTCTGCCTTTCTGCTCCCCACTCTGTCTCTGGTGAATCTTCTCACCCCCTGCACCTCTGTCCTCTACCCCCGTTCTTGTATGAATAAATACAATAAATCTTAAAAAGAAAATGAAAAAGAAATATGCACTAAAATTCATGGGTGATGGGGTCATTCTTTGGCTTCTTCTGCTTAAATGATTCAGGAAAAAGTCATTGTATTCTCAACTTTTCTACAATTTTATTGTTCTAAAATTTTTAAAAAGAATACAGGAGCAATAGAGGCATTTAAAAATATATATATTGAAAAAGTTTTGGTATAAGCAGAATTCACTGAAGGAAATGCTAAAAATAAAAGCTTCAAGCAAAAGGAAATCAATCCCAGAGGGAAGGTCTGAGAGGCAGTAAGAAATGAAATTTAAAAAAAAAAAGAGGTAAATATTTGGGCAAATATAAGGACTTTAGCTATATGAAATACTAATATCGTTTATGTACTTAAGAAAAAGACAGAATTAAAATACATTACCATGATAAATTGGGGGAGGAGATCAAATGGAGTTAAATCATTTCTAAATCTTAAACTGTCTGGGAGGCAAATAATTGCATGGATTAATTTGGACTTTGATTATTTATATATGTATATTGTAGCTTCTAGAAAATCATTAAAAAGCTTAACACAGTCTATAACATCCACACAAGTAGGGAGGAAACAGGGGAAAGAAAAAAAAACCCAAAATCACAAGAGGAGGAAAAAAGGCAGAACAAAGAATATAAACAGAAGATGATAAATAGATACCCAAATTATCTATAATTATGTTAGCTATAAATGGACTACGATTGGAAAGCACAGTATTATAAAGAAAACAATGCTACCTAAATTGATCTGTAGATTCAATGAAAATCCCCCAATTTGTTATTTTACTGAATGGAAATTGGCAAGCTGTTTCTAGAATCTACACGGAAAAGTAAAGCACCTAGAACAAACAATCTTAAGAAAAAACAAAGTTGGAGCACTTACACTACCAGACATCAAGACTCACTCTAAAACACAGTAATTAAGGACATGGTGAAGGATAAACAATCAAGGACAGAAAGAGATCGGAAATAGACTTACGTATGTACAGTCACTTAATTTACCTCACAGGTGACTCTGCAATTAGTGGGGAAAATGGTCTTTTTAATAAACAATCTCAAGCAATTAGATATCTCTGTGGGAGGAAATGAACCCTAAATCCCTTTTCCACACCACTTTTCAAAATGAATAGTTTATTAAATTTATAAATTTCATGTGAGAGACAAAGCAGCAAAGATTCTAGAAGAAAACATGTAGCTACTTTCAAAATTTTTGCTACATAACAATTTCGTAAGCAGGAGACAAAAAGCAATAACCAAAAAAAGTGATTGGGTTCTTAAAAATCAGAGTATCATCAAGTCACAACCCACGTGTTCAACTAATGCATACTGGATACAGCCACACAGCAGAACGTTACCCAGCAACATACAGAAACAAAGTGCTGGTACACACTGCAACCATGAATGGGCTTTGAGAACACTATGCTAAAGGGAAACCATAAACGGTGTGGACTGTGAATCCATTGCTATGAAAAGTCCCAAAAACGAACATCTGTAGCGCCAGAAAGTAGGTGAGTGGTGGTCTGAGGTCGGGGAACAGGGGTTAAGAGTGGTCTCCACAGGGTTTGGAGGTTATTTTTTGGGTGATGAAAATGTTCCAAAACTGATTGTAGTGATGATTGCTTTTAAAACCATTTAATTGCACACCTTAGTGGGGATTTCTATGGTATTTAAATTGTACCTCAATAAAACTGTTTTTGTATTTAAAGATTAAGTTGCAAACACAATTCCTCTATATCATCAGCACTGTTAGTACCAAACAAGAATTGTACTAAAAAACAGATATGGGCCCTCCCTGGTGGCGCAGCGGGTTAAAGCACAGCACTGAGAATCTGAAGCCACTTCCGCATGAGTTCGATTCCCGCCTGCAGCCTGCCCCGGAGGAGACCACATGGCGAGCCAGACCTCTCCTGACCCGCCCGCTGCTTCCCTCAGCAGTGTACTTCGTAGATCTGCCTGTTCTGCTCCCCACTCTGTCTCTGGTGAAGCCTCTCACCGCCCCTGAGCCTCTGGCCTGTACCCCAGTTCTGTATGAATAAATAAATAAATCTTTAAAAAAAAAAAACAGATATGATTCATGATAGCAATAACAATGATAAAGTATCTGGAAATTAACATATAAGACATGTACTATATCTTGGTGGAGAAATTTTTAATTCTAGTAAAAGGTATATCTTCTATAAAGGAATATTTGAATTGCTGGATCAGGACATAATATTTCAATAAAAATACCAGCAAGATTTTTTGAAAACCTAGACAAACATATATAAAGTAATTGTGGAAGAAGAAGGCTCTACTAATAGCCTCTAAGGCATGATGTCCAGAGAAATTTTGGGAACTTTAAAAGGAAATTCTTACTCTATCAGCTATGAATACATATTTAAAAAGTCATGATAATTTTTAAAATCACAATATAATATTGGTGCATGAATAAACAAAAGTATTTGGAGATATAAAAAATTTGGAAAAGATTCGTACCATCAAAAAGTGGCAGGAGATTATTGTACAGAACCCCTGAATACTATTAGTGACCCCCAGGCAGGACCTCCCAGGTGGGGGCTTTAAACAGCCCCTGCTGGTAAGCTGAGCCCAGTGCCCTCCTGCTCCACTGGTCAAACTTTGACTTCAGGCCTGAAATGTATCAGGAAGAAAGAGATAGACATTTCAAAAGGAAGCTGCAGTTAGTTAGTAGACAGAATAAAAAGTATTATTCTATGGAGAAAGTAAAGTTAAGAAAATTGAAATAAAAACAGAGGCTGAGCACTAGATCTCTTTTGTGAACATCACAATTGCAGGTGATCCATGCTTTGCTCTTCCCTTCTTTCTCCCCCATCTCTCCCCTACCTGTCCGACAAGTCTGAATACAGAGCTTTTCCAGATCAGCGCCCTCTCCGAGGCGGTCACCCTTGCCTTACTCACCCTCTGGGACACTTTGGAAGGCTGTGGTGTCCTTGTCCAAGACATCGCAGGCAGGAAATCCCAGCGGGAACTGGCCTACCTCGGTGCCAGCCCTCTGGTTCCAGGACCCCAGATTCTCCTCCAGGAGCCCAATGTTGTCATCCTCAGAACAATCCTGCTGGCTGCTGAATGTCAAGGTGGAGGTGTCACTGAAGATAAGGCTGGATCCCATGCTCAGAGTCTCCTTGGAGCCTAGGACCAGCGTCATGCAAGAGGGTGGAGAGATGGTGGAGTTGTGTCTGTGGGCGCTGGAGTGCAAGCTGACAGCATCGTTGGAAGCGGGAATCAGGGTCAAGCATGAGGTCTGAGTGACAGTCATGTTCAAGTCAGACTTGGGATTGCCATTTGAAGCCACGATGGTTTCCTGAGAATTAGTGTTCCAGGTTGTACCAAAGGTGCCTTTAGAAACAGACCCAGAGATGTTGTGTGAAACCAAAGTAATGGTCTCCTTCATGTCTGGGATTAGGGTCCCACAAGAGCCAGGAGCTGCCTTCAAGTCTACCTTGGAGGTGTTTCTAGAACCCAGACTGAGCAGCTGATTGGAGTCAGGATCCAGAGAAGAGTTTGAACTTGGAACCAGGAACATTTTGGAGCTTGGCTTGGAGATGCAGTGACCCAGAAGCAAGGTTTCTCTTGAGTGGGGCCTCGTAAATGGGTTCAGTTCGGACCTGGAAGGATTGGAGTTGCTCTGGCCCAATTCAAAATTTTTGTTTGAGAGGGAATTTACGGGCTCCTCAGAGCAGACCTTCAAGCTCAAATCAGGGGCTTCTGTAGAATCAAGGCAGAGAACAAAACTTGAGGCTGGACCTAGGGCCACCTCTGAGCTAGGCCTCGAGCTGTGATTCAGATCCAGGTCTACGGCTTCATCACAGTGGGAAATGGCATTCTGGAGGGAGGCTGGAGCCACAGAACTGCTCTCAGTAGGTCTGGGGGTGTTATCAGATACCAGGTCAGGGGCCTCCTCTGAGACAGGGCTAAGATCTAGCATGGTAGCCGAGCCAGGACTCGGGGGTGGATTCAAGAGAGGAACAAGGGTCATGTCTGGGTTGGGGCCAGAGATGGCAGCAGAGTCTAAACTTGGGGTCTCAGTCGAGTTGAGCCTGGGTGTCATGTTTGAGTCTTCACAGAGGACCAGACTAGCTGTTGGACTCAGAGCCATGCACGGCCTTAAGCTCTCTCAATGCCACAGTCCCCTTCTTTCCAATAGCTGACTGTCGAGCTTCCTGCAGTGCTCCTGAGAGAGAGAGAAGGCAAATTTAGCCATGTCTCACCTGTTAAAACCTTTCCAGTGCTCCCCAATATCCTCAGGATGAAGACCCTGGCATGACTGGCCCGGCCTTCGTGACCTACCTCTCCAGCCCATCCCACACTTTTCCAGCTTGTTCTATTTCCAGCTACATCTCACGTTCCCCTTCTTTGACCACACCCGTTTCCTCTTAGCTCCTCGCTTAGCAGGGGATGTTGGAACATCCCCTGTCTCATGATTGTCCTTTGCCAAGCCCATTTCTCCAGGTAAAATATTTGCCACATTGTTCCAATGATTCTTTTGTTGAGGCCCACTAGAGAGGACCTCAGGCTGGCAAGAGGCCCATCAATCTGAGTGCCTAGGGCACCCCCCACATAGTAACGTTTGCCCAGGAGGAAGTCCACCAATACTAGACGGATGAGGAACTTCATCCTCTAACGATGAAAACAAGGGAAAAGGAAACCTCCTTTGGGTTACTTCCAGCCAACTTTTAATTTGCTAGAACCACCCTGCTAGTGACCTGGAACTGGATTCCCACAGCAACCTCGGCCGAGCCACCTACTGCCCCAATGACTGACTGTACCGAGTGAGGCAGGCTCCATGGAGGAAAACCCAGGGCAGTCATTCAACAAAAACCTGCCTCAATCCAACAATCTGACTGCTGGGACAACTTCCCAATCCCCCTACCCACCTCGCCCCCACCCTAAGCCACCCTTCCTGTAGGAATCATAGGGCCAGCTCACCTGCATGCATGGTGTTCCTAAGCAGGAGTGGGGCCCTGGGTGGAGACACAAAAGGAGACCAAGTCAGGCTAAGTGTGGCTTTTTCAACAGTCTATAGGCCAGGCATGCAGCATGCACATCTGTTAACCAAAGCCCCAGTTTCCGGGGAGAGAGAGAGACAAAGACAGAGAGACAGCACGCTGGAAGTTCAACATTATTCATTCATTGCATACTTGAGGGAGTGGAGGCCGAGGGAAGGTAGGTCACTACTCCCTGATCCTCAGGGCCACCAAGACCATCTATATGTCACCCAACTGCTTAAAACCTTCCACAGCTGCTTCTTGTCATCAGGACATCATCTTCAATTCTTGGTGGGATCTGAAAGGCCCTTCTGTGTCTGGTCCAATTCCTTTTCACCCTTCTTGACCCTTCCCCCTCCCTTCTACTCTGTTCTACAATCCCTCAACTCTAAGAGCTTCTCCAAAGAACCAGGCTCCAAGATTAGGCCTGGGCCTTCCATAGGTTGGCCAGCAGGCCTCTGGCCTCCTTCCTCAGCTAACATGTACAGTGCAGATGTTAAGGGCTTCCCAGGCTTCCAGATGTGGAGGGTCCACATCTAAGTTCCCGGAACACTTCACCCACTTCCTTTCTTAGCACCCAATATCTAACATCCCCACTAGACAGTAAGATTCCTAAGAGTCTAACCCAGCTCTTGATTTGACATCCAATGTTTAGTGAGCGTGCTTGTTATTTCGTCTTTTCCTTCATTCACTCAGACATTCTTTTCCTCGTCCACTCTATCACTTATTCATTTGTTATTCATTCATGCATTCACTCACTGAATCATTCCCTCCATGAGGTACTATGCATCCTTACAGCTTGATTTTAGAAGACCATAGATTTGGAATGATGTGATTCTGGGTTCAAATCCCAGCTCACCTCCCACTAGTGTTTGTGGACTTGGGCAAGAGATTTTACCCCTCACCCTCGTGATCACTCATAAAGGAAGCACAATGCCTGCCACCCAGGGTGGGTGCAGATTCAGTGTCTAGCACAAAGCACCCACCAAAGACTGTCTTTGGTCCACCAAAGACTTTCAATAAACAACATTTATTTGTTCTATTACTCCCCACCAGGCACAGTGGGCAGAAAGGAGCAAGGTGTTCAGAGCCAGCGGGGGAACAAAGAGAAATGTATTCTCAGAGGAAGGGGAAATGTATGCAAAGCCAACCATGCTATTAGAATGCCTCTTAGAATCTTAGAATCTTACGGGTTTTCAAATTGTGAGATGTGTGGAGAGCTTGTACTTCAGTTGCTTTAAAGATTCCTAGGGCTTCACCCTCAGAAACTCCTATTTTTAGCTCTGAGGGAACCCAAGAATCAGTCTTTTATCCAGCACCTCCTCCAAGTTTCACGTGATTTTCACACGCAGGTCACTGGGTCAGCAGTCCAGGGGGCAGGTCACTGGGGTCAGAGTGCATTGTCTGCTTCTTTTACTCGAACACTAAGCCCACAGGTCTGGTCCCTCCATAGCTCCAGCTGTATCTGTTCCCTTCGCTGCTCGTATACTAGAACCACACTCAACCAAGTTCTGCCTCAAATCTGAGTCCCTCTCAACTTCTCCTAGTGCCTCAAATGTGCTGGTCTTCCTTAGACTTGGGGTCTATGCAGATGCTCTTTTCTCTCCCTGTAAGTTTTTCAAGACTGACCGCCTAAACCTCCATCCTCTGACAACTAGTCACTCTTCAGATGCTAGTTTAGGTATCCCCTCCTCCAGAAAGCCTCCTTTGGACCCTCATATGTAGGTGGGATGCCCTCCTCATGTTATCACTTTGCATCAGAGGATACAATGGATATGTTTCCGCTCTAGAAAATGAGCTTGATGGGAAAGAACAAACAGAGCTTGATGAGTGTCTGTCTTGCTACCCTCGATTTTCCAGCACATGACATGTGCCTAACACAAAGGGGAGGATCCAAAGACATTCATGGAGTAAGGAAATGAATAAATAAATGAATTCCAACATTGCAAGGTAGGCATAATTATCCTCATTTACTGACATGTTGATTCAGACTGTTTGGGGATCTACAGCAATTTCTACAAAAACCTCCCATAAGTAGGAACAGCAAGAGTCAAACTCAGGTCCTCTCAACTTAGTTTCACAAACAATACATAGAGATCCTGAGGCATGACTGTCTCAGGCAAGCCATGTCTTCCAGTTTCTCATTTCCTGTTCCTTCTTCTACTCCTCAGCCCTTACCCTAGAGGAAAGGTCCAATAAATCCCACAAACTCCCAATGTCCAGGTATAATTCACAAACACAGGGCTCTGAGCTCAAAGACCTGTATTTGAAACCTGTTCTCTTACAAGTAGTGTGAGCTTGGGCAGGTAGCCTTGCCACTCCAAACATCAACCTTATTCTTCAACTCTTTAGATGACTGGACGAACTAAAATAGGGTCCTAGCATGGTGATGATCCCAGCAGCTGGCTGGTCTGCAGTAGATCCTCAAGTCCCTCCTCAAGTCCCTCCTCACCTTGGTGCGGGCCAGATAGTGAGACTTTAGAAAAAGACAACATCTGCTTTCCAAGCTCTCTGCCTCTTTCCCCTAGCTTATGATCCTCCCTACCTAGGTTTTTTCCCTCACTTCTCCCTCACCTCCCCCAACTCCCCACCCACTACATTCTCACAACTTGATGGCCTAAACACTTTCTCCCTGAGCCTTGCGCTACTGATGTAAAGTTCAGTGTGTTACCTCGACCTGGGGCATCCACATGGTAACAGAGAATTCAGCTTTAAACCAAAGGCATGAAGTTCTAACTGTGGAATTACACCCAGAGGGGGACACTTTCACCCAGGGAGGTGGGGTCAAGATGGTAATTCCCTTGTGGAGGCTACCCCCACCCCTGGACTTTCCCAGAGCCTCCCATTAGCTTACCTAGGTTCCCCCAAGTCCTCGCCAATGTTATGGTCTTTGTGAGGTCACCATGACTCAAGAATCCCCAGCCAATGAGGCCCCTGCTCCTCGCTAGCAGTGAGAAGAAGCAGAAAGGTGTTATTCAAAGAAGGCTCTATCTTCAGACTTCAGACCCCTTGCCGTACCTGGAAATGACCTTGTTACAGAGACTGCTCCAAAAAATGGGGAGGGACCATGCTCCCTGTCCCTATTTAACTCAGAGTGCAGCTGAGCAGCCAGGTAAAGCTATATCAAGGAAAAGGCAGGTGGGGTCTTAAGCAAAAGGAGAGAACTCTTGCTTCTGCAGTCTGATTTGTGCCTGGTACTGCTGGGAAGAAGACGTACAGAGAAGAAACATTTGAGATACACGGGTGAGAGACCCTTGGGAGGTTGACAATGGCAGCCATTATCTTGATCATGGTGTCTCCTTTTGTCCCAGTTTCCCATAGGAACCCTTTCCTATGGTTCTCGACCATAAGGTGCCTTAGACTTGTGACAAGTTATCAGGCCTTAGCTGCCCCACTTCTGGCCAACCCTGTTTGCCTGAGCATTTACCTACCAGAAGATGGGTGATTTGGGGTGTTTTATTGGAAAACTATGATCCTTCTCTTCCCCCCAAAGTACACTAATTCTATTAAAATTCTTTCACACTCAGTCTGCTTTGCCTTTGTGTGCATAGATGGCTGTACCCCTTTAGAGCACGCAAGTTTGGGGGTGCTGGGGTACCCCTTGGTCACCCATTAACAACTGCACTCAAATGGGGACCAAGTTCCTCACAGTGTATTCAACTTCCCTGTAAAAACCATTCATTTCATGACCTTACACACCATTGATCTAGAAACACTGCAGGGTTTAGAGTACAAATTGTTGTGAGGTGGAGTTTTGCAGGTGGGGAGGTTATACACAAAAGGAATCGGGTGGTCTGTGATGAGGAAACAGACAGACAGTGGCAAGACATTGGCCCCAGTTCCCAAGCTAGGTCTCAGCCTGCAGACCCTGCTATCTTCCCTACTTCACCCAGCCTCTTGGTCTTAGGCACAGATAACTATGTGGCAGGGTAGGAATGAGGTCTGTAAAGCAAGAACATGAAACCCAGATTCTGAAATAAGGAAATGAAGACACTGATATCTTTCTTAAAAAAAAAAAAAAAAAAAGCAGCTTCTAGCAATAACTAATTAAGGCCAGTGATGAGATACAAAAACTTTACTAAGCACCAATTACTAAGAGACAGTGGAGTTA